GAGTGAGGAGATTGTATTGCTGCATTGTTCAAAGACAAGTCACATGTAAATTATAGCAAATTTTTTATGTGTAAAACCCTCTGTCTGACTCACCACTTCACCAAGAGAGATTTCTTTGAAATAAATGGAGCTCAAAAATCCAGGCACATTCTTCTGAATTTCTGGTTCCACTTGTTCCTTCAGGATCTTTACCACCATGTCATTGATATACGGCCACAGTTGAACCAGCATCTGTTGTTGAATAATCACATAATGAGATAAAACAGTGTCAGTTCTGAGATCAAATGTCAATATCTCCAACTTGCCGCATGAGTAGCAAAAATTTTGCCCTAGTTCTATCTCAAGAGTGACTTTTTAAGAGGGAAAATTGTAAACCATGTGAGCATGTTAGCCATACTTGCCTAAAGATTGATAGCAGAACAACTTAATAATCGTAAAACTAAAACTAAAGTAATAAAAACAACCAATAAGAGCAATAGAAAATAATAGGAGCTGATAAGAACTCAAAGGAAAAATGAGCCATCTGCCTTAGTCCTTTAACTCCCAAGATCTGATTGTTAATTCTCCCCTCTAGCTGCTACACATTTCCTTGTAAATTAGTTATGAGAACTTGGTGCTAGATCAAGATAGCAGCTTCTACCTGATAAATTTGAATATTCTCGTCACTTATTTGCTGAATAATGTATGGATATTATTGAGAGAAGTTTCATGTTAATCACTACTGGGAGTTAAAAGGTTAAGTACATGATTAGGAAAATTTAAAAGAAAGAGTTGCATCTCATTGGTCGAAAGGGTGACTCAGCACTACTGCCAAGATGTAATCCCTTACTTCTTGTTTTTAATACTGGTTGTATTGTTTTTTACCTTGTTGAGCCATTCTGCTCTTTCCACATCAGGAAAGAAAACCTGGAGGAAAGAAAAAATAGCTAAGATGATTTATCTTGGAAGATAATCTAAATATAATGGTTTATATACTTTACAGAGTCAGCAATAGGGACTTGTAACCAGTCAGCAAAACACAGGCTGGTCTGCCATCTAGCCAGCTACTTTAATGTGCACCATTTCACCTAAACTATTGATGAATACTGGTCAAATTCTTGAAAAGTTATCCAAGAAATTTTTATAGCAGCCATTTCCAAGATTTGAGTCGAATTAAATGCAAAATTTACCCTCAACAAGTTTCAGTGTGAATCACTTCCTTGTTGAGAATTTTCCCACAACAATGTTTTGCAGGCTTGGTGGAATGCGTGGGACATTTTAACTGAATTGTTCCCAGTCTTGCTTACAGTGTTACAAAACAACTTGGCATCCAAAATAACCTGGCTATCTACTATTCCTCATTTGCCCTCTACTTTCAAAATTAATCGACAGCCCTGCCAGGATGATTCATTTGTTTGGAAGCATTAGACCAAACAACTCCACATGTGGGTGCTGTGCCCAACCTTTTTCTTTCACTTGAACACAAAGATATAAAGATTTCTCTAGGAGGAAGTTATAATTTAGAGGATCTTCTTTCCAGAGGACACCCTTGTGACTAGAAAAAGAATTGAATTCCTGACTGGAAGTGGCCCTTAGATTAAGGTACATGTAACAGCATTTTGTTGAGCCAGGCCAGTGGTCATTTTGTTATGAATAAAAAATGCAAAATAACATTCAATGCTATTTCATACCACTTTGTAACTGTTTTTAAATTATGGATTCAAATTGAATGTCTCAAAGTGTGCACAAAGATATATAATCATGGTAACATCTAGATAACTATTAAAATACTAAAAAAACTATTAGAACAGTGCAAATTTGACACTATTTTATGCATAAAATTTTTTTTTTAGAAGTTCATTTCACACCCTGCAGTCACTAATTATTTCTAATTCTTGTGATATTCCTTTCCCTTAAATGTATTTCCCAGCAACATGCAAGAGGTCTTATTAAAATCAACAAAGGCAACAACGTTATACTAAACAGTACAACTTGAATCAAAAGACAAAATTACTGAATCATTGGGGATTTAAATCCTGATGTCAAATAAAATTTTCACCAAAGTACTTTTCTTCTGGTTCAACTGCACAACATTTTAAGCTGTCTCAATTAATCCAACACCTGTCAAATTCAGACTGGAACATTATTACTTGGCACGATGTAAAACACATTGGAGTGCCTTTCAACAGCTGAACAGACATTTGGCACAAATGTTGGTCTCGCAAAGTAAGACTTCTTGAATCTTTTATGAGCTTTTGTTATTTGAAAATTTTCTCCAACTTGAGCGAATGACGCGCAGCAAAGTTTCATGTCTGGAGAAGCTTTAGGGGATATCCACGCAAATTCGGTGTATTGTTCGGATAATTTCTCAGGTCTTTGAAGTTAAGTAAAAAGAAAATAAGAGGTTTAAGGGTGATTGACCAAACAGCTCTGTGAGATGCATCAGCTAAATATACATTACTAATTTCGATGTGTTTACATCGCTAAGTGACTGCTCCCAGAATGAGGCCCATTGTATCCTCAAGCTGTCCAACAGTTTCATGTCTTAAAGCTCTCTAAACAAGTCCAGACTCAAGGACCCTTACGACATGACGACCCAATACGAGAATAAACCTATTTGTTCCTGCATATAGATTGTGAACGAACCTTCGAGAGAAATGCTCAAACCACGCCTAACCAAATGACATGATAAATAAGCTTTAAAGCAGATTTAGAAGCGGAATGAAGATGAAATATTGTCAAATACTTTGTTAGCTAGGACTTTAACAAAGCTCGTCCATACGAATTAGAAGAAATAATTACGACCTGTAGCTCACAAGTTCAGCACGAGGCAACGTGCACTAGTTAGGATGTTTATCGCATTACGTGACTCTTACAAATCGAAGCCTCGAGGAAGAAATATTTCTCGGGAAATTTAAGTCAGTTTCAAATCACAATTTTGTTGATGACTTAAGCGACGCGATCGATCTAGAAACAAAAGGCTATCTTTGGCTCAAATTGGTTGAAAGCACATTGAATATGCGCTCATTTGCCTAGAGACGTATCTTACCCAAGATGGCAGATCTTCCATTCGCGCCTCAACTACTTCTTGCTCGCGTTCTACAGCTTCCCTGAACGCCTGTCTCCTAGTCTTTCGTTCGTCCTGATTCATACGCCATAAAACATACACGAAAAAGCCGCAGATGATCCAGACGTAACTCAATCCAAACCACCCCATAAACCAGATCAGCAAAGCACCTCCGACTAACTTCAGATATTTTATCACAAAGTTCAAAATTGCAAGTTCTGTCTTCTTCGCTGATGGCTTCTGTTCATTTGGAGATGGAACAATCGCTTCAACGCCAGGTTTCCCCTGATTTTCGGCGGATTTGTCCGCTTTCTCTGCTGCCACAGACGTCGCCATTGGCACAAGCCTACGATTACCAGACACTATACTGGGTTTGTGCAGAGCTCGGTTGAATTCAATACATCGGCAAACCTCTCATATGCTAATCACTTTGAGACGTGTCACAAAAACAATAGTGTAAGCGAGCTGTCGGAGCGTGACAAGGAAGAGCGATAATACACTTACAGGCTTTTTCCAGTCTCCACCTGCTTTTAGCAACGTGTCCCTCCGCAGTTTTATGCCGTAATACGAATTTTATAAACAACGCAATGACAACATATTGGTATTGAAAGGAAACGCCCCTTCGATCTTATTTTTCACCTTATGGGCACGTTGTCTATCAATAATACCCCCACAAGCTGTTTTTATTTTTTGCTTCGTTGAGATCAACAACTTTGAGCAGAAACCACGAGATTCTCGGCTTATAGGTGCATCTTTTATTTAAACTGCTGCTGGAAAAATCCCAACGAGTGTAACACCTGCCGTAACTTGGTGTGTTTAAAATTCAGTGAAAGGTAAATAGAGATATGGAGCTTATAACAAAGAGTTAAACCTTAAAGCATCTCAAGGCATTTGGTAGTCTATACTTATTGAGGGTATTTTTAGTCTGCTGGCTATTTCTTCATCAATTTACTATAAAGTCAAGCATTCAACAAACCCCTCATGTAAAATATGCAATCGGCGTATTTAAATCGATTATTCCGCCACCACAAATTAATTTGGCTGAAACGCAGTGGCTATTTAGAAGCAATGTAAATAATTCCAAAAAAGAGTCTCATTTACGGTCCAAGATTAATATAATAGTATAAATTTTATGTTTGAAAAAAAAAGAGAGACAAATTGAAACATTCGAAATTGTAGAGTTGACCGTTGTTACAATGCGTCACTTGCAACTGAGACAATTGAGGAAAAAAAAACACTCGGCAAAAAGCAAGAAAAGAAGAAGGAAAAAAAGGAAAACAACAGAGTAAAAAGGGCAAATGAAAATAAGGATAAAATGGAAAGTAATAATATGACTGATGTCTGGCGAAGAATTCGTGAATAAATGGAAAAATAGCTGGACAATGCAAATTTCAAACGGTGAACAACGAACTATGTTAATTCATTATATATTTTTAACTTATTTGTCTTATTCTTTGTAAATAGAGGCAGATGTTCTCAAAGGGAAGGAGGGTTACTTCTTCTGTAAAAGGATAAAGCGTGCTAGATTCCGGGGGGTACTTTCTCATTTACTGGCCATAAGCAAGCAGTTTGTATTTTATGTGGAGTAAGGCTTCGCTCGCGCTGAGGAGCCAACACCCACAGATGCAACTCTTATGGTGTGCTTTTTCTTAGGTCTGAAATAGGGTCAGGGAAAAGACTTCTTCGGTAACGTATTGAAACCCATATCCCAAACCAGCACCTGAAGTTTCCATCGGGTGGGAAATAAATATTTCATCAATCTGGATTAACTTTTTGAGTAAAAAGTGACTGCACATGATTACTTTTTTAAAAACCTTGGATTTCACGATTTAACAGACGAGCCGCCTTCAGAAAGACTCTAGGCCTTTTTGACAAGACACTAGTCAAAATCAAAGATGAAACTGAAGAAGAATTACCTTACCTTGTTATTGGGTTTAAGTGAAGACACATCTGCAATAATTGATGATAAAATAACAAAAGATACAAAAGTACTATGATGGCGCCCAGAACCGCTCATGTTGAATGCTCAATTCCCTCTTCTCAAAGTAACAAAAAAAGAAGGGTCACAATGTATAAATCGGCTTTCATTGTGCGGAGGAAACTTCTGTGTAAACAACGTAGGTTTAAATGGCTTAGTTCCATTGTAATCAGTTGCCAATTGACGAGTAAATAAAAAAATTTCAGTGTCGGGGAAAAAAGAAACTAACAAATTTGCGTATGTTGGCTTCAAACTATCCCTGAATTAATAAACTGAAAGTTGGATAAGCTGTTACCATTGAAGAAACATAAGCCAAGAAAAAATTTAGTTCATACTATAAAACCATGTACTGGACTGAAAAATTAAACTTAATTCGTAGCTATATACGAAACTAAACTGGGTTTGTAAAGAAACGCTTTTCATTCTTCGACACAAATTTACAGACAGAAATTGAACTAATGGACAAATGAGTTTACTCTATTTACAAAGAGAACCGAGGAAATAATAGCTTTCATTTCATGGAACCAGCCGTAAAATGCCTGGTTTCAAATAAAGCTGAATACACATTATGCAATGCTTGTAACATGACAACGGGTCACTTCATACATTTTCTGAACACGACCACGAGAAAAATTAGTCAAGGACCATGCACCCATCAGGAGCCCATCAATAAACCGTTCTGTTAAAACGCCGTGACATAGGTCTAGTATGGGAGTTGAAGGCTCCAAGTGATGGGCTCCTGACCCACTATATTTTGCCAGAAGGTGACCTGATAATACAGTAATAATTATAATGATAGTAAAAGTAACTAAAAAAAAAGTAACAACATCATTTACACTATCCTGGCTATTATCATTTTTATCATCATTATTGTTATTAGGCCTTAATGTTGTTATCAAATTTATTAATATCATTATTATTTTAATAACTAATTATTATTATAGAAGTAAGGGATAGCGCAAAAGTACAGTTCCTCGGCGTCCACAAACAGCACAGGTATCCCCCGCTTTGTTCCTCCCCGTTTCTCGTTCCTGTCCCCGCCCCCGTCCCCGCTCCCGGCCGCTCCCCGCCCCTTCCCATTTTTAGCATCGTCTTGTAATCACTGATTAATCTCTAAGTGGTGCGCAGGAAATCTGGTGAATTCTTTCCCAGATCCCTCGACTCTAACAGACAGGGAAGACGCGAGGCAAGTCCTCAAGCTCGTTCTGGCTCAGAGAAAGCATAATTTATGCCCAGAATCACAGTGGGTTTACTATGCCGTAACATGTTTATACAACAAAGGGATAGTGACAAGAAGTTGTAATCCAGAACTCTTCAGGATAAAAATTAACAAATTATTTGAGAATGATAATCCATAGAAATTGATTTATAGGAAAAAAAAAACAGATTCGACATTATATATATGTCTGATATTGTTTCAGAATAAGTAGGTGAGATTATCGTCGACCGTGCAAAGACAGTCAGAGTGAAAGCTGCCCTGACAAAGACTGCTCTGTTGTTCAAAATGTTTGCTTTGCTTCCATTCTGTGTTAGAACTGAATTGTTTATATTATGATCGAATTTTCAGCAATCTTTCGCTTCAAGTGTATTCAATTCGAAATAAGAATATTCTGTTGTACATTTGCATTTTGATTTTGCAGCTGTCAGAAAGAAAATACAAAACCTGGTCAGGGGAATAATAAATAGAGCAGCTTTTCACTTGAGCAAATAAAAAACAGGGATCAAAATATTGTGCCCGTGAAAATTATATTTTCTCGGAAGCATCATGTCTAAATAAAACGAAAGTCGTGCGATCGAAGTTTAAACGCGCCTCTTAGTCGTAAGATTGATGAAGCTGTATAATATAATTTCAGGGACGTGATGGTTTAAGCTCAAAAGAAAGACAAAATCATGAGAAAAACTACGACAAAAAATTAAAATTTTTCGATTAATTTACCCTGGCGTCGCTTGAGCGTTCGATCCTCCAGGAGGCCATTTGCTTCACGAATTATAAAGCAGGGAATTGAAATGATTCAGCCAAGATGTTTTGCAGACACCTAGTTACGAGTTCGAATCTTGCACAGACTTGATTCTGGATATGCAAAAAGCGATCTGCCCAAGTCTTTTAATGTGATCGATGTATGCAAAACTTATCAAGTTTTAAGGTCAAAGATTGGTCTCCACTGCACTCACTCGCCCGGGCCAATGAAATAACTGATTGGCAGTTTGTTGTTTACCACCCTTGAAGCAGGTGAAACTTATCGGGTCACGTCGGAAATTTCGCAGCTTTTTATCATTAAGCGAATTTGGATTAGGGTTGTATTTCGGGACAAAAATGTGGATTGTGGAACTGCAATAAAATTTGTGTCTGACGAGCAAAATTGTAAAATTTTAGATATTTAGAGAGCAACAAGATTGCTCTCGAAAAGATTTGAATTGCCGTGTGTGCGTATGGAGACCGTATTTAAATAAAGGAGGTAAGTTTCTAAGGAAACTGTGGTGCTGTGTCGGTGAGGAGTATTGCAAGAAAATTTTAGAGTCATCAACTGAGTTGATGATGAACTAAATTAGTGGCCACCGCTCAAAGTTTCTAAAGCTAAGAAACTCTTCACAATGGCCAACTTACATTAACATATCTGTACTGATAATACCAAAGTTTCTTGCAATGCCACAGTTTCCTTAGAAACTGTCTCGGTATTACGTGACCAAGAAGGGACGCTAAAATTCACACAGAAACTCGAATTAGTAACTGTTTATCCCGCGACTGGTAACACTGGCTTTAATTTTGTTTCCTGGTCTATGTCTAGACATATTGGAAGAATTTAAAACTGTGTTTTGGGCACTGGTCACGCGTCAACATTCAATCCTTTAAATTTTCTCCAAGGTTGATCTTCTGGTAACGAACTCTGCCGATAATCTGATGGTCTCAGCAGTATTGACATGCGATTTTCTCGGGAGCAAATTTTCAAATGCATATGTATTCATTTTGTAAATACTGAAACTTAAATAGATTTTGCGGTCACTATGCCCTCTAAAATTATTTGTTGTACAAAAAAGTTCGACTTAGCTTAACAAACAGGTCCAATGATTTCATTACCAAACCAATAAATAAAAACACTTAATGGTGCTTAAAACGCAATCGAATTGGTTGAGAATTTTTAAACTCGATAGGGGCTGTCGAAATGCATTAAACGTTGCCAAACAGCCGCAAGTCATGGGCCATTCTGTCACCAAAACAATTCAAACAATGCCAGCTCCACTTTCAAATTTCCTCTTCTAGTTCCTTCCTCGCCGAAGGGAGCGGTCATCATCTGTCACCAGGGTTGGAAGGTTTTGGTCGTGTCCAAATGAAATTTACATGATCTCCCCACAAGGCTCGGTGATATTCTTACGATAACCCACCCCACCCCCACCCCAAATTTTTATTCTATTTTCTAGAACTTCCCCTTCATAGAGGGTCCCAGTGGGGTTAACCGTTTGCCGTAAAACGACCGAAAAAATTAACCGTGAAGCGTTTAGGTTGACAAATTTTAATTGTTAGTCGTTAAAAAATGTTAACCTTTGATTTTTTTCCTTCTTACAATGTGTCATTTTGAGTTAACCTTAGCCGTGAAATGGTCGAAATTTTAATCGTTAGCCGTAAAAGCCATCATCCCATTGAGAATCTCTTTATTGTCAACTACAGAAAATTGAACTAGCTACTGTTGAGCCTGTAACTAATAAGACCGTAATTTTGTTTCCCAGTCTGTGGCTAGACATATTGGAGAATTTAAAGATGTGTTGGGCGTTGGTCACACGTCGACATTCATTGCTTTAAATGCTCTGCAAGGAAGATCTCCTGGAAACGAATACTGCGGATTGTCTAATGGTGTACGCTTCACTTTATCACTGGTATCGACATGGGATCTTCACGAGAGCATATGCACACACCCTTCTGCATTATCATGCAAACACTGAAAGTTAAATGGCGGATTTTGCGGTCACTTTGCCCTGTAAACTTTTCACCTAAAGCGCTTGTTTTACTAAAAAAGTTCGACTCAGCTTATAAAACAGGTAAAAAAAGTTAATTCCCGAACCAATAGAGACACTTGTAGGTCTTTTAAATGCAATGGAATTGGTTGAAAATTTTCCAGCGCTAGAAACTGTCAAAATACTGCGATAAACGCCGCTAAACAGCCGCAGCCCATGAGCCACTATGTCACCAAATCAGTTCAAATACCAGCTCCACTTTAAAATTTCCTCTTCATTTTAGGTGCTTCCTCGCCTAAGGGACAGTTCATCACCTATCTAACCGGGGTCCAAGAATGTTGGTTGTGTCGCGATTAAATTTACCAGATCCCCATAAGGCTGTTATATTCTTTCGGTACCCCCATCACTGGCAATCGATTCTTAAATTTTAGCCTCTGTGGACGAAGACTGATCCCCCTACCCCAATCCTTCTCTCCAAGGAAAAAAAACACTTCGGCTGGTATTGAATCAACTAATAATCTCTGAGTTAAAATTTCTCTTTATTCTCATCACTTGTCTGCTTGATATTGTATTGATAGTATAAGGAGGAATTCCTTCTTTGCACCCATGGCGGTTAAAAGGTTAAATATAGAATTTATATTTCCACTGAGTGCCTCGAAATTCCAACTCTTACAGCACAAAGTGCATTTTATTTTCTGATGTGTGGAATTGGGTAAGACCTATGCAAAAATAGCCAGGAAACGCCATTAAAATAACATTCTCTACTTTCTCTTCTCCGTGTCCACGAAAACGCAACCTTGCACAAATGTTTTGGTTGCGTCTATTTCGCAATATAAAATAAAGCGACAGTCTAAAAGAGTTTTCTACCTAGAATTTAAAGCTCCTCTTTAGCTTTTGTCAAAGAAACTGTAGCCTTCTCCTCTACAAATTTCACTAAGTCGCTAAGTTCTCGCTCACCATCGCCGTACTTGATAGGGTTCCTCTTGTCGTTAGCTGGTGCAAAGAAGATGGTGGGGAAGCCCTCTGCGGCGTATTCTGGAGGTGCGTCGTTAGCGGTTGCATCCATTTTAGCGATGACTATGTTAGGTTGATCTTTAAAATGTTTACCTAATTTCTTGTAGACGGGTTCAAGAGCCTTGCAATGGCCGCACCAGGGAGCATACAGCTCGAGAAGAACATCTTTTTTAGGATCCATGACGATTTCTTCAAATGTATCCCCTACTACGACTGTCACAGGACCAGTGTTCTTCTTTGGTGCAGGTTGTGATTTCACAATTGGTTTAATGTTGCCTGTTACAAGAAATGAAAAGTACTCTCGATGAAATTCCTATGAAGACCGCACAAGTCTCTTAAGCTTGGTCATAATACTATAGCTCTTCCCTGTCTCTGTCACATGGAGAAAATACGAGAATTGCAACACATACTCTCCCTGGAAGGTATGCTAGTCAAGCGAAAACTTGAAAAGTCCCTTAACAATTCTGTCCAAAAAATAAGGCATGTAAAGAAAGAAGATAGAGGTTCTCGCCGAGGGAATATCAGGATTACAGTAGGAAAAAATTCCTTATACGGATTAAAATATAAAAAAAAATTCTTATCACATTCTGAGATTCTCCAAGAATAAGTCAAACGATTTCCACAACATATAAAGAGGTACTTCCTTCTCTACCAGAAGGCTAATATAATCTATCAAGCGCTGCATTGACCCCACCCAAGTTATTCCAACTCTTAGGCGGTCGTGTGTTATGAGTATCAGTATCATGCACAACAGAAAATAGTACCGTTCTTGAAGTTTTCCACAAATTCGCGAAGGCTATCTTCATCGAATTCCTCATCCGGCTCCATTCTGTATTTTCTGTTCTTGTCATCAAAGCAGCCAACATTAATCTCTTCTCCAGAGTCATCCAGACCAAAGTCTTTCAGCTCTTTCTCAAAGTCACTCTCGCTAGCAATAGCAAATGTGATATCGCGGTGGTCCTTGGCCACTTCTAGAACTTTTTGACGCCAGAACTGGGTCGCTGGAGAAGAAAGCTCTATGTCAGTTTTAATTGAAATAGAAATTCGACGTTCAAAAATTAATAGCATGCTGCGTTTTCACATTTGGGGGTTCTCTAAATTGCGAGAATAATTGAACCTAAGTAAGACAACCAGACCAAACTTGGTTCTACCCGTCAGCGAGTGCATCATGGCGCCATGTTCAAATCTATACAAGCTTACTATTTTGCGCGATGAGCTATTCCTTCGTTTTAGTTCATTATTGCGAGAGGACTGCCTTCAGTATTCTTATTGGTTGCCCAAAAAATTACTGGCCATGCAAAGTAGTTGTCTTGATGTGTACTGACCAGTTACCACGCCAGTAACGTGAGTATTGTTAAGTAGCCTTTAAAATCGCTCATTTCCCGAAAGAGTCAGCATTGAGTGCATACAAACCAAGTAAATTACTAACCTTTCCGTTGTTCAAAGCCGAAATCCACATCATAATAGACAACACAGAGAGGACGCTTTGTGTACTTCTTCTGCTGATCATATGAAGTCATTTGACCGACAAGAGGGATACGTTTGTCCTCATAAAACTTTTGGATATCCTCTTGCTTTGGATCATCGCCCTGTGTATTTTACAATAAAGTTAGAATAAGAACATGTTGGCAAAAAAAGGTACTACATGTGATACCAAGTGATTAATTTGGCACACATCAGAAGTAAATACAGATTTAAAATTTTGGGCTTTTCCTTGCCTGTTTCAGGCGTTCGGTTAGGTAAACGAAGCGCGATTGTAATAACTGAGCGAAAGAACAAGGGAGGTCTGAGCCGGCCCAAACCTGCCTCCTTTTTCTCTGTTCCGCTACCAATAACACGCCGTCCGTTCATTTCGCTCCGTTTAATTAACTGAGCGCCTGGAACAGGCCAGGTTGCTCCACTAGCTACAGTAAAAAATAGGGACCCTAACATTGCTTTCAGAGCTATTTGTAATTTCCAGAAGTTATCTCGTAATCTTATCAGAATCACTCGCCTCTTACCTTAAAAACAATATGTTTATCTTCAAACTTTGATCTAAACTTTTCAGGTTGGAACATCACAATGGAGCTCTTAGTGATTCCAAAGTATTTCTTGGCTGCAGTGTCAAAGGTGTGTGCAAAGGGGTAGTCATCTCTAATGTCGTTGTTGGCTTCAAGGTAGGTTGCATACAACTTTTCGTTTGCATCCTTGAAGAATCCAACAATAACTAATTCATCTCTCTCCTTCATAAAGTCCTTGAGTGCTTTGAGTGAAGTCATCTCCTTAGAACTTGGCCCAACTTGGCTACGCATGTAATCTACAATGCCTAAAGAAAACAAAGGAAAACATTTTCAGATTTGTTATAAAGTTGCCCTGCATGTGGGAGAAACAGTGGCCTTATGCACTGGATGTTTTCATAAACTTTGCCCTGTTTACTAGGGATAGAATTCTAACGAACTAGACTCAATCAAACTGTTTTATTCCACTCTCGTATTCACTTATGTACAACGGGTGTGTAAAAAGCTACTCTGCAAAATTAGTAAAAAATCACTCTCTTATAAGATATTCTCTACATTGTGATTGGTTGTTGCCAAGTACTGATTTGAAAGGTCATTCAAGGTACTGTTGATTATGTAAACCATTCAATGTTCCAAAATCACTTAAGGGGGTGCTTCTAGCTCTTGACATAATGTTCACACTCATCATCTGACATGTGTCACGTACGAATCGAAGTCTCTGACAATGTCAGGTAAAGAGGTCTGGATTCAAACCTGGCTGGTTCCATGTACTGTGTTCTTAGGACAAGATGCTTAGTTCTCACAGTGCCTCTCTTCACCCAGGAGTATAAATGGGTACCAGTAAACTGTCAGGGAACACTGATGAAATGCTGAGGGGAGGGTAAGATTGCAATGGACTAGCATCCCATCCAGAGGGGGAGTAGCAATACTCCTAACTGCTACATGAAACATGGAAATGGGGATAAGCTCCAACTGGGTGGGCCAATAGGCTTAAATACAGACATTACCATTTTCCTGTGTCTGTTCACTAATAGATCACAGATGACATCAAAATGTGGTAGGAAAGAAAAACTGGCACAAAAGGTGTAAATAATCAACTTACCCCACTGATTTCTAGAACCCTTGTAGTCAGATGCCTTGCCCTGGCGGAACACCTTGAGTGTGGGATATCCAGTCACCTCATAGTCCTGTGCTAATTTTTTCTCTTCATCAGCATTCACTTTAGCCAACATGATAGGTGGGTCATTCTTCTCCAGCTCCTGGGCTGCTTTCTCATATTCGGGTGCAAGTCTTTTACAGTGTCCACACCTACATACAATAAATCCATTTCAACTTAGATACTAAATACTTGAAATTCTCTTTAAACGGTAATAGTTAGCTATACTCCAAGACAATGGAGATTGCGAAAAGTTTGATTTGATACCATTTTGTACTGAACAATCCCAATGAAGTGAACCCTTTCACTCCCAAGATCTCATAAGAAATTCTCCTTACTGCCAGCCATACCATCTTTGTGATGTTAGTTTGGAGAATTTGGTATTGGATCAACTAATGGTCCTTGATTGATATTCTCTTTATTCTCATCACTTACCTGCTTCATACTGAATTGATATTATAAGGAGAAATTCTGTTTTGGTCACACATGGGAGTTAAAGGGTTTAGGACAACCCTCCCACAAAATTGATCACGGTTGCTTTAAACATGGCTGTTAGGTTTTCTGAGGCCTGGCCAGCTTTTTCCTTTCAAAGTTTATAGGTACATTCTATAAATATTGCTAGTGCTAAATTAACACTCTTAAAATGTGATAGTTACATCCTAAGCTGCAACCTGCATGAAAATTTACTCCTACCTACAGCTTATACAAGAACTCTAGGGAACTTTTCTGTATAACACATCATCATGTAACTTGTTTCTGTAACATCCCAACCCTTCATAAGCATTGTGAGGTGTAATATAGATATATATGCTACACCCTTAATTAAATCACAGCCTCTAAAGTAAGCAAAGCATTCCTGTACAGTTATATAAAGTTCACCAACACACCAAAGGATTCAGAGCTCCCTCAAGGCTTACAAGTGCCTAGTTAGATGCAATGACAAGTGGGACAAATCTGGGACAACAAGCAAGATTGCCAGGATTGTTTTTCCAAGACATGTTTCCAATGAGTTTAACTCATTGATAATGTCTTGGAAAAATAATCCAGGCAATCTTGCCAATAATCTTACACAGGGAGTAAAATAGTTCTGATTTTCATACCAAGGAGCATAAAATTCCACAAGCATCAGGGATTCACTGTTCACAGTCTCTGTGAAGTTATCTTTAGTGAGAGTTACAACAGCTTCTGGGGGTGGTTTCCAGTTTGGATCTGAATTCTTTTTCATGTAACTGACAATACCTAAAGAAATCAAAGTGACACTATAGTGAACTCTTGGATATAAAGTGTACTGTGCAGAATACAGTTTGATTAGAATATTCAGTGATTCTACTAAAAGCCAGCAATTATGTGATCATTAGTAACTTCTTAAGGATTTGGGGGCTTGAATATTCATCAGTAGGCTATTCCGCAGTATATGTAAAACACAAAATTGGCTGTCATCCCCAACTAAACATCTAAAACTAAATTGAATGTAAATAAAACATGTCAATTATGCACCACTAGAACACAAGGAAAATAGCAGAGTCATTTTTTTTTTCTACCAGCCAAAAAATACAATAACAATACCTTAATCAATACCTCTGAGCATCAAATTTTAAAAAGGAGAAGATCCAGCTGGGTATTAATAAAATAAAATCAAGTGGCTCATGGGGTTAAATTTTAGAGGAAACCGTATCTCAAGTTTGAAGTTGAATAACTTGTATGTCTCTTCAATTTTATCTAAATTTCATTAACACATTAAGTTTTAGCCTTCCTAAAAGGTGTTGACATTTGTAAAGGTGTGCTAATATGAGGCCATTTAAAAATTTCCCTTTAAAAGGTTTTGGCATTAGGATCAATATGAAAGCATTGTCGCACTTTTGTAGAAACTAAACATACAAAAACACCTGTACTCTATACAAACATGTATTGTCAAACTATTCCTCAAGATTATAGTTGATGACAGTACAATCTGTAGAAAGATAACCCATGACAAAAAAAAACCACTTAAAACTATCTGTTACAACAGCGGTACCTTCTTCATCTCGAGGGCCCTCATAGGCATGTGCCTCTCCCTTACGGAAGATTTTCAATGTTGGGTAGCCACTAACTTCATACTTTGAGGCAAGTTCTGTCTCTACTGTGGCATCCACTTTAGCGAATGGCACAGGAGGATCAGCCTCCTTCATTCTCTTTGCAGCTTTTGCATATTCTGGTGCCAAAGACTTGCAGTGGCCACACCTTTGAATGGAGAGAGAGGAAAATCAGAAATCAAAGTTCATCAGGAACTTTTTCCATGAGGAACAACCAGCCCCTCTTGCCTTCAGAGAGTTGCATTTGGTCTTCTGAACAGGAAAAACATTTCAAATGGCTAATTTGTTAATAAAATTAACTGGAGAATGGTTTACTCATCATGTGCCCTGTTACCCTGATAATCTTTGTTTCAACATTCATTTACAAAAAAAAGTGGCAATCTATCACTAGACATGGAGTGGAAGGAATTCAGAGCCAACAAGAGTAGTCTTATGAAAAGCTAAAACATCAAGTAATTTGGTTGTAGGGCTTTTCTTTAAACTAGCCCAAACTCTCCAAGACTGAGACCATTGATGGAAAGTCATTGTATCAGCCCAATCTGTTGGTCATTCAATACTTTCTATGGGTTTTCCAAGGCACATTTCAGTTTTCCCGAGTTAAAATAGTCCTTTGTCCTTAACTTTAAACAGATTCAAGGTTTTTTGGCAAGCTTCATAGAGCTTGATATTTTTTCCTCCAATGCATCCTATCCATCATTGTTATGAAATTAAAAACAATTTAAAACTATCTAGATAATTCTATACTTAGTCTAGTGATAAATCAGGTCGATTAAAATCCAACATTTTCTTCTTCGTTTGGCTTGTGAAGTACTGTTTAAATTATAAACAAAACCGAGAAATCACTGCTTGGCAGCAGCTCAAAATGAAATTCATATTATTTTGACTAACTATACACAACTGATCTGTTTAATTGCATTCCCTTATTCAGTTCACGGGTGGGTGCTTGAAGTGAATTGTAGGGAAAGTTAACGCAATTGTTATACGCTCAATAGGTTCTAAGAAGTTTCATTGTGGCATAAACAATTTCTGAGACGAATCTTTTCGGAAAGGTTTCTAAAAGAAATGGAGTGCAGTAACAAAATTTATATTCGGATCAGGCATTTGATACTTCAGGATTTACGAACCACAAAAGTGAACCACGATAAACAAATTAAATCACGTAGTATCAATATTAATTCAACAAACCATGGTGCATAGAACTCCACAAGTACGATATCGTTTTTCTTGACCACAGAGTCGAATGTTTTGGTCGTTAAAACCAAAACATCGTCCTCCTCTTTCACTTCTTCGGCGCTGCCTCCTTCAGAAGTTGCCTCTGTTTCGTCGCCTTCTTCCGCGGATTCCGCTTCCTCGGGTGTTTCTACAGCCTCTGCTGCTGCTTCGCCATCCTTTTCACTCTCTTCAGCAAGCGTGAAGATTGCAGAAAAAGTGATTAAGAGGACTAAAGCGAGATAGAACTTTTTAACCTTCATTGTCAACGGAAGACCTCCAAGAAAATTGTCGTGTTGTGGAGATTCCCAGTTCTTTCAAAGACTACAAATAGCCAATCGCAGATCGACAGGTTTGAAGGCTTCTGACCAATGGGATCGCGCTACGCGTCTCCCCGGGACAATTCAGTTTACCCGCCAAAGACCGATAAACAGTTCTTAATCTGATTTTTTTGCAATTAAAACTTATCGACATACAGACATCTACGTAGGTTCCAAAACTGATTCATTCAATTTTAAAAATAACGATTTTCCCTTTTCATATAGAGTCATGTTATGTCCCACTCTACGTTTCAATTTGTTTGCTCTGTCTGAGAGAAATTGTCCACACTCGTTGTAGCCCAAATACTCCGTCCCCAGGCGAGACACATGAACGATTTCTGAAAACGTGCAATCATTTGCTCTTTTTGAGATGGGTACGTGAGGGATAGGGCATGATCGCAATTAACCTCTTCCGAACCACAATATTGAACACAGCGGTCAAACGATCAATTCTTGCCAGCCGCACGAGATGGAAAAACTGTCACGCAAAATTTGCAACAAAAATTGAAACATTCAACGAAATCTGAAAAAAATATTCAGAGATACCTAGCTCTCCACGAATTTGGGAGTCCAACAGTCATTGACTTCATTCATCCTTACTGGACATAACTCGTTCTTACAACGATGACTTAGGTTATCGCTGTGTTACATTGTACCATAACGCATGTATCACGCAACACCAGTAAAGAACGCTGGGCTCGCTAACTTAAATTGACAAGGACTTCTCGTTGTAACCGTCCGTTTCGATTAAAGCTTTTTAATTCGCCTGAAAGTTAATTTTGCAACGAAAACATCTGATTCTGTCTTTTAACAAATAAAATTTATTTTAGAATTATTTCCATTCAAACAGACAAAACTTTCCGCGTGGCTACCAAGCCAAAACCCGCCTGAACTTGGAAGGTCAGCATTAGATTCCATCCACCAAAACCACCTCGGTCGAGAGGGACTGAGATGGAATATTTAATGACATAACCGAAGATTCTCGGAAATCCGCAAGTGATGTAGCCGAACATCCGAAGCTGTAAATCCCATGATTCTTGAGGAACAAACAGAAACAGCATAGCGAGAATTTTAAGTCGCGAACCATTGATGGTAGACATGCAGATAATTTAGGATACGTAAATTCTGTTGATGAGGCGCATAAACTTATTGCGGAATTTGAAACAGGATTGACGACGAAGTTTTCTTTCTTTAAAGCTGTCAAAGGTTTCGGGAACACCGGTGTATATATATATATATATATATATATTGATATAGCTCTTTGACATTACAAAGCTTTGCTATCGCTATTGTGCATTCTCACTAGTTTATCTAGTTCAAGTTCTACCACAATTGTGGAATCATTCGGATTAATTTAATGCTTACACCTCCTTCCTTGGACAGAAGTCACAAAATACTGGGGGAAGATGCATGAGATATTTAAGGAGCAAAAATTCGTTTTTTACTGGTGTGCCTTTCCTAATTTTGGGAAGGAAAGTGCAATTGCCAGCACGGCATAGATAGAACAGCTGGAGAGAAAAAGAAACGAAAAGATGCAGAAGAAGTACTGTATACAATAATTTCTTTATATCCTCAACCTTTGTGTTTCTGTCAACTATGGCTTGCTAATTCAAAAGGTCAAATACATGAATGGGTCATATGACATTGATCTCAGAATACTTTTATGACAAACGTGATAACAGTTCAATCTTGACTAAATTGAAGATGGTTTAGAAGTTAACAATTATAAGAACTTTTCACTAACATATGCTGCTGACAAAGGAGAAAATATATGCAATTCTGCATTTTTTGCTTTCTATCAAGCAATCATATGTTGGCTCCTTATCACACTATGACACTTCTGTTTTGTCACATTCCAAAAAATAACTTGAGAAATACACTGTCACACATCTTACACTGTTATATTTACTTATTACAGAAGGCTGGAAACAAAGATTTTGTTTTCAAGAAAATAAGATTTCTTGTCCAAGACACAAGGAAGTTTGACTGCAAAGCACATATAAAAATGCGAGAAATTTTTTTTTTCAGAGAACTAGGTAGTTCTACTCATGTATAAACAGAACAAATCCAATTTAATAAATCAGATATGCGGCATGACTCCTTTTCTACCATCCCCACTCAAAACAAGCAAACACACCTATAGAGGTTCCAGTCTGGTCTGCAAATGAAAAGGAGGAAGGTGATCACTGCAAAATTAAGCATTAGGGTTCTTATTTATAACATATTGATTATTGTACTGATACTGATATCTAGAAATTAAGGTTGCAAGTAGCAGCCAGCTGAGTTATAGTTTGAGTTTTATCAAGTCCATTACTTTGTTAAATTTAGAGTAACCTTGTCTTGAGAGAGGAAAATTGAGGAGCTGTAATATACTAATCATCAATTAGGGACCACAAAGAAAAATTTATTTATAGAGACTTTTGAAGGAGAGGGGTAAGACTTGTGACAAGCTGGCAGACATATAGATAAACTTTACTGCTAAATGGGTTACAATACAAAGTGCTCAGTATTTGGATCAGCTATGGCTCAACTTAAACTTTGCTTTAGCTTCAAGTTTAATCCTTTGTGGTTTCCTTTCTCTGTGTTTATTTTTCAAGTTATGTACACAGAAGAACACAAAAATGACAAGGAATGCTTTTGAATATCAAGAGGCTGGAATAAGCAAGAAACCAAAACTGAATTTTAAACAGTACAAAGTTAATTTGATCTTCCAATGTTATTTAATTTTAACCATAGAATTTGCTATTGAAATTTTTCCCCTCCATTTTTCTGGGTATTGTGAGCAAAAACAAACAATTATCACAAAATGCATGGTATACAATGGTTTGATTCACCAATGTGGCAAAGGCCTTTCACTGTCTATCCATAAAAAGGGAAATAGTTTGTAAACTTTAAGACATTCTGCATGTTGAGTGTATACTTATTCATCCATGTGAAATTAAAGGTTACTTGAAATAAATGTGAAAGATTTATAGGATTTTCAGACCCCTGATAACAATTACTAATGTGCTGATTTGTTGTACTTAAAGGTTATGATTTTAGCGGAAATAGTGGAAGAAATTTCTGGACCTGGAATTTTGTTGCAAATGTTTGTTTAAATCAGTTTAAGTCAGTTAAAAACTCTCCTGTTTCAAGATTACATGATTACCACACCAGAACCTTTTGTATTCTATATTATGCACCATGTTATGATTATGGTTTCAATAATAAAAGGTGCTGACTCAAGAACTTTCCAAAATATCTCTACATACAAAGAAATAGATTGTGGTTATGTACTCCGAATAGCAGGTCACATCAGTCTTCTGTAAGGAAGTAGCAGAAATTTCTGTGGTGGTTTTGGTGGATGGAGAGAAACATCCACCAAAACCACTTTATCCTATGTGTTAAGAGTTATGATAATCATTATGAACGTTTGGTCGGTCAGCAATTGTGCACCATTAAAAATAATTAGCCAGAGCACTAACTGCTAATTAGTGGTATAAATCTTTTGTCTCCCTGAACATCTAACAATGGCTATAGATAAAATTTAAAAAATATATTGTTGATGGTTTTGGTCAAAGTTTTGGTGGATGTTCCCTAATGACATCCACCAAAACTACCTAACATCTAAGCACCTTTTAAATACGTGAAATATCTGCATAAAATTGCGTAAAATGTTTTATAATACTACAATCGAACAATAAATTAATACTTACCATTTCTTTAGTAAAAAGTTTTGACGCAATTTTCCAAACAAATAATACATTTGGGTCATCGGGATAAGTCGGCATGTTGTCGTAGCTTCGTAATTTTTTTTCCATCATTCCATCTCAGTCCCTCTCGACCAAGGTGGTTTTGGTGGATGGAATCTAATGCTGACCAACTTGGAAATGGCTGCAGAAGATTGTATCAAGGTATGTTGTGAAATAAATCATTTATTCAACCTTTACCAGTTCCAGAGGCTTATGAAATGTTCTGAGAGTAAGGATCGTACTCTAATAACCGGTTGGACAGCTGGCTACCAGGACTTTGTTCCGTAGCTCATAACAACGTGGTGCGTTACAAATGGATTTCCTTCTAGCGACATTCCGGCTTCGCGAAGTCAAGATTTTATCCACTTTGCTCCGTAGCTCATAATAACGTGGTGCGTCACTAATGGGTTTATTTCCTCCTTGCGACATCCCGGCTTCGCGGAATCAAGATTTTATTAACTTTGCTTCGTCGAAGAAACACTTGTCAAACATGTGAATTGAAAGCTCCTGCTAACATTTATGCTGATCACAATCAACTACGTTCATTAATTTAGCGATAATAGGCTTAAAGGAAGACTGTTACCGTAAAGAGGAAATTGATAATGATGATTAAATAATTAAGTAAAATATGAAAGAACTATGGATGCCCTAGGTGGAAAACTTACCGGTGTTCAGATCATTAACTTTATTGTTCAGTTTATTTAACTTTATTGTTCAGTTTATTTAACTTTATTGTTCAGTTTATTTAACTTTAATGCCTTCCCTTCTTCATGTGAACGTGTTGTTAGCGGTTTAGGATCCGAGAAATACGCATATTCATTTTGTGGCCAGCCAGTGTGATTTATTCAACCGATTCGAAGGAATCATGATCTTTTCATAAATAAGGGAAAATTTTCTCCATTAGGGTGTTATTAAGGTTATATTTTTCATTTGAAATGTAAAAGGGACATAGTAATTACTGAATTTGTTAACTGGAGAGGTATTTGCATTTAGAATGAGGGTGACACTCTCTGGCTTAAAAATTGACAGAAAATTTTCTCCATTAGGGTGTTCTTAAGGTTATATTTTCATTCGCAAAAGTAAAAGGGACATAGTAATTACTGAATTTGTTAACTGGAGAGGTATTTGCATTTAGAACGAGGGTGACACTCTCAGGCTTAAAAATTGACAGAAAATTTTCTCCATTAGGGTGTTATTAACTAAAGGTTATATTTTTCATTTGAAAAGTAAAAGGGACATAGTAATTACTGAATTTTTTAACTGGAGAGGTATTTGCATTTAGAACGAGGGTGACACTCTCAGGCTTAAAAATTGACAGAAATTTTTCTCCATTAGGGTGTTATTAAGGTTATATTTTTCATTTGAAAAGTAAAAGGGACATAGTAATTACTGAATTTGTTAACTGGGGAGGCGACCTGCACTTATTTTTACAGATTCCAGATAACTATGAAGGTTATTCCCTGGATATGTTTTGCCTACCAAAACACTATGAGAATGATGTAGAATCAATTATGATACCAAAAGGACTAATTCATGACAGGTAAGAGACCAGTGATAGATAATTTTTAAAGGGGACCATTGTTTATGCTGAGTGATCTTCTACCTTATTATATCTCATTTAATTCATGTGTTATGATTGGTCAATTTAGCTGGCCTTCTTTCACTGTAAGGCTCACTAAATTTGAAAGTTTTTTAGAATTAAAATATTACTTCTCTGTTTGAATCCAGAGATAATAAATATCTTAGCCTTTTCTTTTTTGGTCTGTGCTGTTAGTTACAAAACCTTGTTTTTTCCATTCAGATTTTTGGGCTACACCCTTTGTGTGTGGGCCACAAATCCAACAGGAAAAAAATTGGTCTGTAACTTACAGTACAACCTTCAACTCAGTTAGTAAGAGATATTTTTCCAAAATTAGATAGTGTAGAAGAAACTTCCCACTGTTTTACTTGAAGAGAGTATAATTAGCCCTGAAAGAAACAGTCCTAATTTTGATGAGAATGAATGAACTCCAAAAGGTACTGCAGACTATGGTTCACCTTGAGCTCCCTCTTTCTCAAATTGAATATAGTTAAGTCACTTTGGTTGCAAAATATTACTATTAGATGTAGTCATCATGAAAACTGTTGGATGCTTCTGATTCAATCATTTTTTGCATCACTTTTTCTTATAAAAATAAGTGCATGATCATATAATCTTGAAAAGGCACCAAATAATTTTATTTTGCACTGAGACTACAGTTCTAATTACTTTGCATTCTTTAATCAATTATAAATTAGAATTGAAAGACTGGCCAGAAATATATGCCGTGATGTTGACAAAGGCCCACTCATTGGATTGTGTGTACTAAAAGGAGGATATCAGTTTTTTGGTGATCTTATGAATTGCATCAGGACCATAAATGCTAATATGGGTAAGGTAAAATGAAGATTCAAATCAAAATTTTGTGACTTTCCTTAAAAAATAGATTTTGATGATGAGTAATTATTCTTTGTTTTAAACAGATCGGTCAATTCAGATGTCAGTTGACTTCATCCGGTTGAAAAGCTATGAGGTACCTGTAATTAAAAATTTATTTTGAAAACAGCCAATTGTCTCAAGAAATTTTTCAAGAGCTTCTGCTCCTAAGTGACAATGCAACAGAAGTTCTATACTTGTTTATTGTAAACATGTTCTCTCTAAGGAAGATCGAGGTTGCTTTTGAGAGGCAGTTGTGTGATAGAAACTCAGTCTGTCCAATGGTAAGATGGTGGGACTCTTCATTCAAAGGCTTGTGCCCATACTTAGCCTGACCAGAGTCATGCTCTGTCTTTGGAGGAAACTATTCAACATAAATTACTGCTGAGGTGCTTCTCTCTTTGACCACAAGATTGAAAATCAGTTCCAGTTAACTCTCAAGAAAATCCTAGAGAGAATTTGAGAGCAAGTTAGCTGTAGCTTAGTAATCATTTTAAGACAAATTGAATCTTTGTTCAGGATGACCATTCCTCAGGAGAAGTAAAAGTCATAGGAAGTGATGACCTGTCTGCACTAAAAGGAAAGGTAAGTGAAATTTGTAGCATGACTTATTGCTGTTGTTGTCTCGTAATTGTTGAGTTGATGAAACTGAGTTTTGCTCATCAGTTCCTTTATGTACATTGTTGTATTTTCAGTGATATACAGTTGAGTAATATCTTTGTTCTATGATGTGTGGTAAATAATACTTGTAGATAGATACATTTAACTGTATTTTAGATAGTGTCATGGTGGAAGTAAATTGGAAGAATTTAGAAAATAGAGAATACCAATTTCACTTATTTATGTAGACTAATAACAACTCTCTTATATTCTGTCATTTGTTGTAAGAACTAACACTGATAATTCTTTATATTTCCTCTCTAGCACATTTTAGTTGTTGAGGTAGGTTTACAACAGAAAGTAAAGTTACTTTTCTTGCATGCAAACTTTTTTATGTCTACTTCATAGACTTACAAATCCAATCAGAGGTTACCTTTTTTTTCCCCTACGTATAACGTACAAGTTTTAAAACAACTTACATTCATTACTAGGAGCAGAGCATGTACCATCTTTACCCTTCAACTCTTGACCCCATTGCCGCTTGCCAATTTTGCTCCAGATAGCTAAAGAGGTCACTGACCTTTAAAAATTTTGGAAACCTGTGGGTCTCTAAGAAATGGTGTTTTGACATCTTGCAATCTCGTAGTATCACGAGACAAAGAAATCACTGTGTTTTTTATGCTTTTTTTTTTCAATTTTTTTTTTTTTACAGGATATCATAGATACAGGTGCAACTATGCAGAAACTACTAACCACTCTTCAGAAGTTCGAACCTGCAACTGTCAAAGTGGCAAGGTAAAACTTTGATATACTTCTTTACCCAGGATAGCTGATTGTTTTCCTTTTTGCCAGAAAATGCAAAATTGTGGATCATATCTTTGAAGCATTTTTTATTTTATTCATTCACTTTTATTTTTTCAATCACTAGTTTGTTGGTGAAGAGAACACCAAAGAGTAATGGATATCGTCCAGAGTGTAAGTAATTCTCACAAGGCACAAAACTGTATTCTTTTACTGGTATTCATTTCATGTTTTTTCTTTTCTAGAGGCAACAAAGTTTAGTGTTTATGAAGAGCATATTTTGTAATTTGATAATTAATTAATTAATCTATTGATTAATAAATAGGCTATTGATTAAAAGGAAGATATCAAATTTGTTTCAACCAAATTTGATTTCAAGAGAATGCTCCTATTCCCATTGGTCACAATTTTAACATCTGTGTTAAAAGTGTTGTTCTTTGCTATTGGTTCATGCATCAGTTATGGGTTAGTTAAGAAATGAAGTACTGAGGAAATTTGGAGAGCACTCAAGAAAGTAGAGGTATCTATAGTAGATCTCTGCTACACTTTGAGTTGCTCTTGTGCATGATATGTGCTTCTTAAACTTACTGCATGCTTCATCTTGTGATGAATGCCAAGAACTGCTTGCTTCTCCTGTGCTCTCCTAACTTACTGCATGCTTCAAATATTATAAAATGCCTGCTGGTTCTAGAATCAATTATTGCTATGTGGAGATTTACTTTGCATACCTAAAATCAGAATCGATCTTCTTGAGCCAGAAGTACTTTGCTCAAGGTAGAGGATTAATTAATCAATTTTAATCACTGAATCAATTTTAAAGTTGTGTTTATTTTTCAGATATTGGATTTGAGATCCCTGATAAATTTGTGGTTGGGTATGCTCTGGTAAGTTGACTTGCATGCTCTGGTAAATTGATTTAAACCAGTAAGCTAAGGATTTGTGGGAATTAAATTCAGCCTGTGTAAGTAAAATGTAGAGACAGTTGTTGCCTTCTACCTAAAAGTATGGTTTGAAGACAAGAATTGAAAGTGACTCTAGGTGGTAATAAGAGTTACTACTGGTGGGATGGGCATTTGTAGGATGGGCCTTCCAGCTAGTAACCTGACTTAACTTGTACCTTCTGCTTTGTGGAGATGTATTCTATTGAGGGCGAGCTAGCTCCCTCAGAAATTCATTATATTCTTTGAAAACATTCCAACTTTGTAGCATTATCAGGTATCATTCTTTAGTTGGTGAGAGAAAGAAATTACTACTGTATATATTTTGATGATAATTTCTGACTTATTGGTTGAGTTTTCAGTCTTAGTTTGTTTACAATACCAATACCTGCACATGTATGCATACTTATCATACCTTCACATAATGCTTAAGGTAACACTCTCTAAAAACAATGTATTTATCCTGTAGGATTACAACGAATATTTCAGGGATCTCAATGTAAGTTGCAAGCTTCTCTTTGCAGTTCATAATATTTTTTTGGTAAGATACTTTTAGGTGACAACAGGTTACATGGGAAGTTTTCTTTTCTCTTTAACAGCATATATGTGTAATCAATGAGAATGGAAAAAAGAAGTATGCTATTGAATCATAAAGAAAGCAGCTGATATCTACAGACTGTCCTAACCAGACCTTTCCAATGAAAAGCCAGTTGTGATCAAACATTCTCATCCTTTGATGCTGTAGTGGGTTAACTCCCAGTAATCCTCCTCACAGAAACATCAGGCATGATTGTAAAACAAACGCTCTCGCAAATTTTTAATAAAATGTAGAAAAAATTCAAAATATTTGTTTTTATTATTCTTTTGTTGGTATGTTTTTTTTTTCAATTTACCACCCTCCTCTCGCAAGAACAAATATTCCCATAGGTTATCCCTTATTAGATCCAGAAAAGTATGTGCCACTATTGAAAATACAGGGAGATCAGAATTGAGGTTGGTGTTAAGGCTGAGGATCAATCAATCTCCCAGTGACAGTCTCTCCTGGCGCTTTTGTTGTGAGTTTCTGCCGCGTCTTGAACCTAGAAAACGTTCCTCGAAGATTCCGATCGATAACGAGTCCCGTGAAGCAGGTTTGGCTAGTTGTGTCTATCAAAAACTGAATAGTTTTGAAGCTAAAAAAATGAGAACACAGAAAAAAAAGAGAGAATGATCTGCCCTGTAATTCCTTGGATGTAGATCTCAAAATATGGCTTTCGGACCCGAATAACCCGAGAGTGCTCTCTACCGAAATACTTCTATGATTACAAAGTTAGCTAAAGTTGTTCTGCGAGGCCATGACTGGTGGGCGTTGCGTGACATCCCACGGCTGCAAACGAAAAGCCGAAAGGGGATTGGGGTCCTTAAGGTGACTATCCAGTACCTGTTACATGAAATTCATTCCACTCACAAGAAGCAAATTTCAAGATGGCGCAGATCAACATCGCTAACCGAGTGTTCGGCCGGTATGTTCGGCCATTACAACGGCTCACTTTTAATTACTGTAACCAGGGAGGAAGCAGTAGAGGAATAAGGTAATAATTTAAACGATCTTTTCATGATTTAGAAGCGATTTTGATCGTAAATGTTGGGTGTGTGCTTTTCTGTAGGGAGTACATTGACAAGAACATCGTGCAGTTTGCGAAAGACAATCCTGGAATTTCTATTTACGTCATGGAGCGGAGTGGAAAACATCCGACAATTACTGGACACTTTAGTAAGTTACTTGTAACAGTTATGAACGTCAGTCGATAGCCAATCGATGAAGTTTACGAATACTTTTATGTGACCCGATGCCAGTCGATGCCAATTAACTAATCGTATGCGATTACCGTCGATTGATAGATTGATTTTCTTATCATCGATTTTCATCGATTGTTTAGGCCCTGTAATGGGACTGAGTGGAACATATTTCACGTGTAAATCTGGCTTGCAATTTCACACCGGCTGAAATTGCATAGCACATGTTTTTGTAATTGAGTTTATGCATTCGAAGGCTAGGGTTTGTGCATGAACACAATCTCTGTTTGTGAGGAGCTATTACCAATGCTAAAAATATATTCCTTTCCCCCTTTAGTTGGAGGCAATAGCAAGGAAGTTGAAGTAAAGAATATGACACCAGAAAAGATAAAAGAATGCGTTACAAGCCTTAGAAATGAATCAGGAGAGAAAGTGGAGAAGATACGGAAGCACTGGCACACTGAGAATCCATCCATACAAGGGACCTGGAATCCTTTCTTGCATAAACCACCTTCTCTGCGAAAACATGTTACAGGGAAAACAAAGTAAAACTCTGTCTTCAGTGGATGTGCTACAAAGATTAGGTCACACATGTTGGGGAAACTTCATATGTTGCTTGCATTTCATGCTTGGACTGGTTGACTCTGAGAAAGAGCAAAGGTGATGAGGTAAATGTGGCTCACTGCAATTTTGATACGCAACTGTCTGATTTGCAGTTCCAACATGTGTTTGTGAGCTTGCTAGGAAGCTTCTGTTATCATACAGTAAAACCCCAATAGGGAGAAAGGGGTTAAGTTTATAAAATGATAGTGGTGGTGCATTCTTGCAGGCTATTACAAGATAATTTGATTTTATTAGTAGTGTGGATGCAAAAGTGATCACCTCAATTTTCCAATATCAAGAGTTAAGTCTGTGGATGTGATTGGCCCATACTGTGAAATCATGCGTGCAGTGCTTGGAACAAAAGATGTACCTAGGCAGGGAGGAGAAGGAGAACAATTGTAGTTTGGGAGGGGGGAGAGAGAGAGAAGGAGAACAATTATGGATGGGGAGAGGAGCAGAAGGAGAACAATTGTCATTATTGGGAGAGGTGGAGGACAACAGTTGTAATTTGAGGGGAGGGGAACAATGGTAGTTTGGAATGTTAAAATATATAACATTTTCAATAATGTTGTGGAATTGTTTTCTTTTTCTCATTTACTCTCTGTTAACATTGTTCTTGTAAGAATGAATTACTCATTGTTTGCTTCAGGCAGTGAAAGGGTTTCAACAAGACACACCTCAAAGAGAAACAATCCATCCATTTAGTTCAAGTTTAATGAAATTGCTGTCAAAAACTCTGATTTTCTAGAGATACATATAACTATGAAGTAGTAAATAGGAAATTATACCATCAATCATATGCCTTACTTAAAGCTTGTAAACAAAGTGACAATAACATTTTGAATAAAAACAAATTAGTATGTACAAATACAACTTGAATTGTGTTACAGGAAGAGAACTTGCTTGGGGAGGAGGTTAGAAATGGGGTTTTTCCTGCAAAGGTTAAAACACTTGCACAATTATTTCTGGGGGATCATTTCTGTTTTTCCTGTTTTAGTCAACCACATCTAATATTACATTATAATTGTTGTCTTTCATTTATTTTGTTGTGGCCGATTGTCTGGCAACTACACTAATACATTTGCAAAAAACATCAGGATTTTAAGTGCCCAGAGGTTCCTCTAGAATGCAATTTTCATCAAGTGCATTGTGCATAAAGGCACAAGAAATGGCTGAGAGTGACTATACCTAAAGCTCTACTTAAAGCTCCCTTGAGGCATATCAGAGCCTTAGATGAAGAAGAGGGTGGAGGGGCTTTCTTTATTACCCTTGTCCTTCTATATTGCCTTTATTAATAAATTCTTTATATGATGCATATTTCTTTGGTTGAAACATGGTAAATTTTAAATACAAACACTTATAGGCTTTCCAATACAATGAATACAAACTGCAACAATAAGTGGCTTAAACTAATTCTTAAAAGTTTCTTTTAACCCTTTTACTCCCATGAGTGACCAAAACAGAATTTCTCCTTATGATACCAATACAATATCAAGCAGACAAGCCATGAGAGTAAAGAACAATATCAATTAGGGGATTATTAGTTGATCCAGTGCCAAATTCTCTGAACTAACATCACAAGAATTGTATGGCAGATAGTAAGGAGAATTACTAAAGAGATCTTGGCAGGTATAGGGTTAAGGGAAGGACAAAAAAGGGGGAGTCTTATAGAGAGAAGGGCTTAAATATTTAGAGATGGTTTTCATATTTAAGCATGTTTTTAAGAACTGAAACATGACTTGAAAAATTTCTCTCGATAAAAGGAAAAAATTCAAAATCAAAAAAGCTCATATTATCTTAGTCCAAGTGTCCTCATTTACAAGACCTCTCTTGCAAGACCTTTTTCCTAGACTTCTGTTTGCCTTCAGCCCATGCATAACTACTTGACGAAATAGGGAACACTTGAGAACCTGAGCCGCAAAACAAGCTCTCAGATCTTGTCAATCTCTGTGGCTCTTTCATTTGCTTCGTGTCTTCACAAACACCATAGCCTTTGAATGCCTCGCGGACGTTGTATGGCAGGGTTTGTTTCAGCGGTTTGGAATGCAGAGCGGTGACTGCGGGGCAACTCGTCCTCTTTGAAAACAGAACTCTGTTGGTTTGAAAGGGTGCGAGTGTGGCTTGTAGTGGCGGTGGCTGATCCAGATGAATCTCTTCCTCAAACCACATGCTATCGGTGGACAAGCGCTTCTCACCGTGAAATTCTTCAATACCAGAGTCTGCCGACTCGTGCATTATGGGCTGAAATTGAGCCTGTATTGGATGACAGCAGATGTACGACTCAAGGTCATGCACGCCTTCGAAGGATCCCGTAGAGACACGCTCTCTGTGGGGTCGGGCTGGGGCTTCAATTGCTTTATGCTTCGTGTTTGAAGGTGAGAAGGTACAGTTGGGTGTGGCAGCAGATGAGACATGAATTACCACCGGAACTTTCTGGCTACAGCTTGGCTGAGGATAACAAACGTCCTCGGGAATATTCCTCTGAACGAGAAAAATGGATATTGCTAGCTCTTATTTTTTTGCCATGAAACGCTGGCTTGCAGTGCAAGCGTATTTTTGGTGAGTGAGGGCTAAATACGGCTTTCTTGGTTTCTAAGAGCACGGAAAGGTCGGGGTGAAAAACTTTCACCAAAGGGAGACCCCCCTGGGACCATACAATGGGAAAAGGGGGGAAGGGGAGGGGAGAGATATTTCATCCCATCTCACTTAAACAGAAATCCAAGCATGGCTGAGCGGCAAACTTATCACTAATTCATAACAACTTGAGTTCCTACATTAGACGCCTTTCATGCAGACCAATAAAATACAGGACATATCCATTTCAGCTTAGACAGAATGGGCTCCTGGCTTGGACAAAAATTTCTGAGAACAGGGATGAAAGTGATTTATCCTCTTTTCAGTCAAAAAAGCAGGCAGTGTGGGCCGCAGAAAGACTGAACCTATAAGTTAGAACGTACCTGTCGTGACAGTTGCCTAATCTCTCTTAGCTCAATCATCTCGGAAGGTGTCTTTGGGAACTTAACGATTGATTGCGGGCTCAGTGACAAATCCAGCATTTCTTCTGCAAAACGAGAATTAACTCAAAAGTAGAAAACGATCACTTAAATTTACACCAATAAGTAATGGTTCAATACGTCTTTCTTTTGTCATAACTCTTTGTAAGTGATTGCATCTCTTTGCTTTAAACTAAGTAGACAGATCTGAGTGTCTACCATCTTCCATCTAATAAAAAAATTACAATTTCCTCGATTGTGAAAACTCCTATTTTTCACTAATTCACTTGCCAAGTTGTTATCGGGCAGTTCAAGAAACCAATCGCATTCAAAGTTGTAGTTTAAATCAACCAATCGCGTTCATAATAAATTGTAATTTAAATCATCCAATTGGACTTTCTCAGTCTCTTAATACAAATTTTCCTTTTCTGTCATAAATTGGCTATTCTTCTTTTCTCGGAAATTGTAATTTTTATGATTAATTGGTGATAAGACTTCGTGTCGTCCAATTCGGTCTTAGTGCTATTACAAATACTCCTTATAATTGTACTATCTGGCGTCTGAACGGTTTTTAATCAGTTAACTAGTTCTAGTCCACCTCCCTCTGTTTCCTTGAACCATTGAACATCTAAGCCGTGACCAAATTAACAGAGAACAACAAAACAACAACAACAATAACAACAGATATGTAGAGAACATACCTTGGTTTGACCGGATTGTTTCGCTGCTGGTGAGCCTAGTTGGTGGATGAGGACTTGAGGATGTTGCCATTCTACACCTCAGAAAATCTTCAACAGTCATTGGTAAATTCGTATGCATTTTGTTTTGGCAGTGCTCCTCCACAGAGCTGCTTGATTTACCCTAACAAAAAAAAGAAGAAAAACTTGTTTATGCCCATGGCCGGTACTGTATGAGCCTTCATCATGAAAATTGGTCTCTAGAACCGCTTGTGTTTGGTTTCACAACCCTCAATCGAACTCACTCTATCCTGTATACGTTACCACGTTCCTTTTCAGTGTTCTCGTGTTGTATTTTGTATTTCATATCATGATTTGTACTGAGAAACTTACTTTCTCCATGGGGCTGTTTCGGTGCCACCACTGAATACAACGCTGTCTGACGCTCTGACGAACCTCTGAGTTCCACGCAACAAATACCAAAGCTGCAAAAGCTCCCTAATGACGATGTAAAGGGGACAAATTAACATACAAATTAACTAATTAACTAATCATATCAGTAGAATTACCGCTTAACTAGCTTAGTATGGCTGACCATTAACTTGACTAACTGACTATAGCCGACTTACTGACTGAAGGACTCTACGGACTGACAGACTGACGGATACTACGGACTGACGGACCGACAGACTGGCTGTCTGACGGACTGACTGATTGACTGAAGACTGACTGACCCACTCATTCACCACTAAAACAATGTATATTTAAATCAGTTTCGAGGTGCTGATCAGTAATAAATGACAGATGAGGTGCTAAGTAAAAAACCAATGCCTCTTTAAAAAAAAAGTAATCATACGTGGATGGAACAGACTTATAACAACATAATTTAACAATTTATATATCATCACTTAGAGCGGTTGACCAACTTTGCTCTCGTAAGAAATCAGTAATCAGCTGTCAGGACAATAAGGCAAGACTGGCAAAACTGTGCTTAACACTGAGTCAAGAAAGAATGAATCATGCTGAAGGTACTAACTACGGCTTAAGACTACAGCACAGCCTAACCTGTAGTGGAACTACGGCTTAAGACTAGCACACAACCTTACCTGAAGTGGAAAGATAACCCGCACGACGTAATCAAATGCTGTATTTCCCTTGGGAATATAAAATATCGAAAGATATATGACACCCATCTGTGGAAACAAGATAACTGCTCCCTTGGCAGTCTTTCTGTGAATGGGAAAAATAGATAATAATATTTTTAAAAGCTTAATAATCTTACTGCAGAAATGTTATTCAAACTGTTTTTTTTTGTTTTTTTTTTTTTTTGACAAGCTCTTATATTGCGTCGATTCTCCAAAACGTCCAAAAGAAAGGATAACTTTTCTCCTTCAATATTTGCTTGAAAATTTGGACGAATTTTTTTTACCTGGCGATTTGAAGCTCTGGTGTGCTTGTTTCCTGCATTTTCCGCACCAAAGTGAACAAGGCAAAGATCATGATGGATAAATTAATCTAGAAGAAACAGATAAAGAAATTCGCGATATGTTTATAAATCTTTAAACCCTGGATTAAAGTTTCCCTGCATTAAGGGATACTTCCGCTGATATCTGCAGAATTAGCCTTTCTCGGGACAATGTCAGCGTATGAGCAACTGAGCACCTACTTACCCTTCCTTAGCCAAACATTGACCCTCACTTGTTATCAGTTGACTGATGTTGGGTTAGGGGAGGGGTAGGAGCGCAGTTGCTCACATACTGACATTGATTCCAAAGCTCGCATAAAAGACAGTGTTGGATGACAATTTTACGAAATGTTCAGTCCAAAACGGACCATTGCATGTCATACGAAGAAGGCAACGTTGTATCACGTGTATAAATGTGGGTGATAAGCTTCTGAGGCATGCCAAAGACTCCTTAGTTTCAAAATTTTAATGCGGGGATCTTTGACTCAAACCTAAAATTCTTGAAGAAAAGTATCCTTACCGAAAGCATTATGGTTATCGGTCCGTACAGTATCATCATGATGGGCTCCTGACCGTGTGCACTCCAGCAACTAACAAAACCAATTGAAAATATCAGCAATTTTATTTTAAGTTTTGACATTTTCCCGTTCGGTGGACTGAGGTTTTAAAGAGGAACTATTCGAAGTCGACTCTCTATCGTTCTAGGCGCACCCAGGAGCGTAGCCAAGAATTTTCAAAGGGGAGTGGGGGGGGGGGGGGGGGTGTCACATTGTGTCAACCATAAGGTACTCACCAGATTGTCATGTCAACCTCCACGCCGTGTTTTACTTAATGTGACCAAAAAAAAGGTTCACAAAGGGTGGTCACGGGCAACTTAGTATTCCTTAGTTACGTCCTTGGCGACACCCCATAAAGATTACAGATTGGTGTTGCAAGGAACTGAGCGAACTCACCGTGGATCGTAGGACCCATACACAAGAAGAGAAATAGGAACATACACGGTGAAAACCAGGAAAGCTGGAAGACCTTTGAATGAATGCGGAGAACGAACACGTTTAGGGAACAAGAGCCATAAAGGAATAAAGAGCTGTTAGGTTGATTAATGGCGCCGTATATGCTATCGTTATGAAATAGAAATGCATTCAGGAACCAATCGTGCTTTAGTTAATTTAGACTGAGGCTTTAAAATTCTGAGAAAAGAGTTCAGAGCAACTTTTATATAAAACAGATAGCAATGAATGGTTTGTTAGAGTTATCTCAAGAATGTTAAAAGTCGAAATTACTCCAAACAATATTTTCAACAGAAAAACGCGCGACTTTCAGTAGAGATTGATTTCTGATAAGGTCAAGTCACCAAGGTTCACCTAGTCTCGTACCCAGACCTTTTACAGCCAAAGGGATGTAAGCCGACATTTCAGTTACAGTAACACGGTACAAAATAGGTCCACCGGCACATAAATGGCGGAGCTTACACCGGTCTCCATCGCACGTAGCAACTAAGGGTACATCTATTCCCCCCGGATGCGCGGATGTCAGCCCATTATAGGTTCCCCCATCGGGTTTTCTTGACAGTTCCTTAGTACTCATTTACACTCCTGGTCAAGAGAAGCTCTATAAGAGCAAGTGTTAATCTCGTGCCCAGATCGTACCGTTTAACTGTAACTGAAATGTAGGGCCGCTCGACCGTGGGAGGTCTAGTTACGAGACTAAGTAAGTGTTTCACACAGAGACCGGCCAGAGTTCAGCGCGCCGACCGAGTCTCCCAGTAACTCTCGCTTAATGCAAATAATACTTGCCACAGAAATGTGTGCGGAGTTTGATTTCTGATAACGAACAAAAATCAGGTTAAAATTATGTGCTCTGGTTATTTCTTTTTTAAAACAATGAGGGAAACGCCTCTTAAAAAACTTGTAATTCACACGCAAATTTTAAATGTGCCATTAGCTCCTTATGAAACATTTTTATTTATACTGACCCCATCCAAAGAAGAAATAATACCAGAAGTACGATTCGTTGTCGAAAGCCCTAATGAGCAAGCGCAGAAGAAAAACCGCTTCATTGGTCATCCAAGTGACCTCTGCCACAGCAAAGTAGCGGTTTAGAATCCAGACTCCTGTGCAAACGGTCTGCATCAATTGTAAGAGAGAAAAATAATTTTGATATCTTCGTGAGAAAACCAATAAGTAAACAGTCATCACAGGATCACTCCCACATTTTTTAAAAAGCCAACTAATTGAACAAGGTTCTTTAAGACGAGGAGCGATGTTAGTTTACCTTTTTTCGATTGACTTCCACTTTTTTTAAGGATTACATGTTTTGTTTGTTTGTTTGTTTGTTTTTTTGTTCCTTGTTGTTATTTTTCCTTTATATATAACAAGTAATCAGTTTGAAATCGTACCATTAAAGAGGCCTTACATCATTTTAAAGTGATAAAAATAAATCATAAACTTTAACCAAAAATAAGTTATTTTTTATCATAATACAACCTACTTGCAGAGAGTCTGTCAGAGTGAGATAAGTATAATAATCGATGAAGTAGGTAACAGTTCTCAATATGAAGGCCGTCAGTAGATTTTTATGGAGTAAGAATCGATCTTGTTGGTTTGTATCTCTGCTGAAGAAGATATATATCACAAGGAGAAGAAAGAATAAACGCTTGACTAATAAAATATCATAAGAATTACGATCAAGAATTGTTTGGGAACCAAAAACTGGATGGGTAATTGAGCGAATTTTTCTTTGCATACAGATTTTCAATGGAGTAAAGAGGTAAATAAATAAAGGATTGAATGAATGGACGAGTAAGGACGAAAGGATAAATGGAGGAATAGACGAATGAACACACAATAAATAAATGAATGAATGAATGGATGTACTATTGTAAGAACGAAGAACGGACGGACAGACATACGAATGTGTTGATTAATGGACGAATGAAAGAATGCACGATTGGGCGAGAGAGCGAATGGGCGAATGGACGAATTGATGAGAATCGACGAAGGAATGAATTGATATATAAAAATATGAATTAAAAGAGCCAGTTTTAACCAAGTCAAATTGATTAAGTACCTGCAAACAATTAGAATGATCATTGATGGCAGCATGATTGATACAGAAATCCAACTGAATACCACGAACACGCGACCTTCGTTGATGTACAGCTGATATAATTCCATTGTGGAGGCTTCTCCTGACTGGAAACACTGTGTTCGAGAGACGAGGTAAAAAATGTAAAGGTTAAAGAACTTCTTTTTTCTTCGATTATTATTTGAAAACTTAAAACAAAAAATAAAACAAATTAAATTTCGTAGGGGGGAGATGTAAGAAAATGTTCTGCAACTATGAAGTCATTATCTTCTGAAATCAGAAATAAGACGTAACAGTTCTTTCAGTGTTGGATCACAATTATCTTTGGGTTCAAGAAACCGTATTGGGTTAATGGGGTTAATGGGGTCAATGAACAATATTTCGGTTGACAAAACCAGCGCTTTACACAAGCTCACATCATTGTATTTGGATGGTTCAATCAATCGAATTAATGTGCATAGACTAAAATTTGCCCTTTCCGAGTTCCCTCATTTTCGAAACAAGATCAAGAGCATAACATTTCTTATTAAAACGAGGAGTTTCGTATCAAGGGCCTCTTTCTTTTTCTTTTCCTTTTTTAGTGTTTCGGTCCTTTGCTTTTCTAAATAGTCAATGATTGTCAACCATCATTTTACATCCCAGGGATGCCAGCACCTTTACCTTCAGTTACAGTTTAGCTATTCCCATGTTACGTAACATTATTAACGGATTACCGTGGTGTTCAAGAGGTTACAGTCTTTCATGTTATTGAGGACTTGGCTTGACTCCAATTTGCGACACTGGCTAATATTCATCCTTTCCCAATGACCACTGGCATTACAACGGCGATGAATGAGACCTACGCATGAGCAAAGGAGGAATAGGAAAAGAAAACAGAGAACAATAACAGCAACAACAAAAACAACTACAATAGAAACAATATTGAAAACTCGACTGTAAACGCAGGCAAGTGAAAATTTATTGCCCCCTAGACCAGAAACCGCATCATAATTATCCCCGCATGTACGTATATGTATGGAATTGAAAGCATATAAGGAAAAGAAAACATGTTGACATAGAGTTTGAAATTATCCCGATTTGAACGAACTAGGCGCGCTTTAAATAGTCGTACCTAGTAATCATTATTTCTTAACTAGTCGTGTCTGGTAATTTCTTAGCAGGGGACGCAAAGTGTTGAGGGTAACCTCTACGATGTCTCTTTACTACGCTTCGTTTCGCTGTCAGAGAAATTGCTGATGTGAGTCACTTTCATTACTTTGATCTCTTGAAAAATAAAAGTCACAGCCTACAAGCTCCATGAGAAAATCTCCCTCAAACCTGTTCGAATTATTTCAATAATCAAAATTTCATATCATCAGACGGCGGAGGCAGACATAGTGAAAGCTATAACAAGATTTTATTTTGATAGCTTACCTCCAGTTGTAAAGAACAGCGAGGGACATGGCTGGATAAATGTGGAGCCTGCAGTTATTTCTGGCCAGCAGGCACCAGAAAACGAAACATTGCACTTTGTAATATCTGAAAGATTGTATTGAATTATATTGAAAGACAAAAAAGCGACCCAACTTTTACATATTTAATTCCGAAGTAACAAATGTGCATTCAGAACGTGTCATTGACGGCTCTCTTAGAAAAAATATCAACTCATGTAGTGATATTAAAGCCGCTACCTATGGTTTATCACTTTACTCAGACCCCGCCTCTTTCTGTGTGCAAGGTTCTGCCCGATTGTATTAGCGACCGTGAGAGCTCTGGGTACCACATACCTGATCTCAACCCAGACCTCTCATCTTCTTCATATGATCGGTTGCAAAAGATGAAAAAAGGGTCTTTAAGCTTGGTTTTATGGGCAAAACACAGGTTGTAGTGCAAATGTTAGGGACCATCGAGGATACCTTGTGAATGTTAGTTTGAATACTCAGAGCCACAATCATTTTGGCCAATGACACACAAAATCGGTAGCGTTCGTTTTTTCAGCCGGTGCCAACTCAGGCTGGATCTCTTTCAGTGGACATAAGCTAAAAGGTTGCCGCGCGAAAATTAGAGGAGTTCCCTTGTTCTTTCGCTAAACGTATTCTTCCCGTGTATTTTCTCCTCTTTGCTCTTCTCTAAGCGACGAATAGTTAACGTCTTTAGTTCGAGATAGCATTAATAGCAAAGCATCTTTCATCGTTTTATCAGATTCATTACATTTAGCCTGCGTTGCCGTGTGTTTTGTAGAAGCTTTCTGGAGCGGCACTACCGCCTTCTCTTCTTCCCAGGGCATACAACACCACCAGCTGCGCAAGTTAAATTCGATTTAATTTGCCTCTTTCCATGACGGAGCATTAAAATAAACGAACATATTAAATGGAAAGTATGAACCTACTCATTTCATCCTCCATGTAGTTCTTTGGATTTCTGTGACATCTGGAACGCTCCAAATTATACTTCGCTTCAAAATCGTTGCTCTCGGTAGGATGAAGTAAAAACTGACAGAAAAGATATGATAAATGTTTGATTTACTTTATCCTCCATGTTACAGTTCATCACTACTACTCTGTGAGGCCCAATGCATAGTTGTCCTTTAGGACGAATATCGTGCAAAGTCGACAGTTTATTTGTTTATTAATTTATTTTCATTTACCTATCAAGTAATTCAGCTCGAGGTAACATAAAGAATCACTTTGATGCATCCACACGGTGTTCAAAAGCAACGGAGATTTCAAACGCGAAGCTCGTGAAAGAAAATCACAGATTACCGTGTAACACACATTGACAGAGGGGTTCGAGTTATTAGGAGTAAAACTGTTAAAATCAATATGAGCTGAAGGGAAAAATTATTGCAAGAAAGAACGATGTTTTAGTTATAGGGGGGTTTGAGCAAACTAAACCAACTAAATATACATAGAAATCTAGAGGAAACTAACCTGGGTTCGAATTGGCGCAAGATTCGTATTACCGAGGGCTTTAGCCATTGGGTATAAACTATGAAAAGTTATCATGAGCTTTATCAAAAACATATTTTCAGTCTTACCAGTGCGAGGGAAAACAAGATGGCAGGAAAAAGTCTCCGTGGTGACTCAGCATAACCCATTCTGGCGGAGAATACTCACGTATTCACCGATCAGCGTCCAATTTCTGTAAAACAAAACTACATATATTTTTCCTCTGTCACATGGGAGTATTTCTTAGTGGCATTCTGAATGACTTAGAAGTGAAGTTATTATTTGATAAACGTACAGAGGTACACGAGGTAGGTAAGGCGTTGATTACGTAACCTCTGCGAGCAATGCAATTAACTACTACTTATCGAATGCAAAAAAAGTCTCTCGTTTCTTTTTTATGCATAGTTTTTCTCGACAACTCGATATGGTGATAAAACCCACATTCGTTGACTGTCGCGAGTGGGCAAGGCAAAGAAAGTGACATTTTACTAGTTACGGCGAGATGAAGAAAATTAATCAAAGATAATAGAACTGGTTTAAAATCGGTGTTTTTCTCCATATGACATCGTCTTTTGGCCAAGAATTAAAATTTTTTCTTTACTCGAACAAACATAACATTTGGCATTTAAATGACAGATTTCTGAAATTAAGATTTAAGGAACAGTTTGTCCGTATCTTCCTCCCCACAAATTTTTAGTACTAAGCTCTTATTTTTTCCCTCGACTTTTACGAGATTTTGATTTAGTTTCATCTAATTTTATCCTGCCTCCGTTTTTTCCTGCAAATATTTAAAGACGTTTTCTAGCTTTCTTTCACGGGACGGATAGAAGTGCACTTTCGCTCGACTCTTACCAATATTCTAACGCGGCATATCACATCCCTAGTGCATCTCACGAAACATTGCATGTCGAATCTTTCTGTACAACGCGTTATAATGAAACCGAATCTAAATTAACACTCACATACTACAAACGTTTGTAAATATAATCATGAATTCGTTCAAACTTATTCAAGTTTCATATTCTTCAAATTTTTTACCCGAGGCCGTTAGTCCCTTTCAAAACGTATATCCCTTTGGTCGAGTTAAAGTGATTACGTAACGAACAGTGTAAGCGTAAAAACGCATCATGATTGTCATATCTATCATTGAAAAATTAATTTAATTTTAACTGTAGCCGGAATTTTGTTCCTTCAGTTTTTACGTACCTTTGAATCTTCTTTAACTTTGTTTCTGGTTTGCGCTCCAAAAGGCCCAAGAACTGACAAAAGGAGCGCTGTAAATCAATTGAAATTGATTTAATTGAGTAGAATTGACACCTCCGTTTTGTTAGTGTTTTTTTCGCTTGTTGCTAGGCGTGTCTTGCGCAATTTTCCTTTTTTTTTTGCTAAAACTGTCAAGTATCCAATCGCAACGTACAAATGAACGTAAGTCGTTGTTAGCCAGATAACACTCAACAAGAAGATCAATAGGTAAAAAACAAAAAAAACAAAAAACAACGATAATTATTTTAATAGCAATGATAATTATGAAAAATGATAATAATATTAATTATAATGATTATTATTATAATTATTATTATAATAATTATTATTTCAATGCTGAAAATGATGAAAACGACAAAAACAATGAAAACCTTAACTCTGTTATATGAAATGTAACTAATTGTTTTGGCTGTTGAGGATAAGAAGCAATAGGCCATTTTACAGTTGTGTACTTAGTTGCTAAGCCTTTGATTTGGAGTGAAGCTGAAGTTGACCATGTTGTGATAGAGACCAGTATCTAGTTAGCATGATAACAAAGTAATTTACATTTTAAAAGCGGCAAAGTTTGTATCATAACAAGGTCAACCTTAGCCTCACTCCTGTTCAAAGGCTTGGCAACCAAACACACAGCTGTAAAATAGACTATTCGAAAAGGCACATTTCTCTGATCATGAAAATTATTCGCCTGTCTGTTACTCGGTGAAAAGCTGGTTGATTAGAGATAATTAATTATTACAAATGAAATTAATGGCTTCTGTTTTTGCGATAAATAAATCCTTGATATTGACTCAAGAACATCGCTACTGAGGTTGAAAAAACTTAACTGAAGTTATCTTCAATTCATTCATTGTATAACCTTGTATTTTTTTCCAAAGTGCTAAATTTTAATAATTTCGAATTTTTAAACATGGTGGCATGTTTTACCACAAACGCGGAACCAAGCAGAGAAGCAATAGCATTTGTTACATGTGTCTTTATTCATATATCTGATTTCGGGGTATAGATAACATAATTTTAAACTGTTTTGACTGTACGTAAGACACACATTTCTCTCACTATAGAAAGTGGCGGAGCATAAATCTGCTGGAAGTATTAATCACCTCCTTTTAAAATATTTAATCCGATTCCATAGAGCGCCATTTGATTGAGTGCCGTGCAACAAAAAGTACACTCAATAAGCCAATTACAAGTCTAAGTGACACCCACGCACCCGGCGCCAAGAGCGGGAAAACACGAGAAACAAAGTCCCGATTGGTTTTAATTTAGCACATCTAATTGGTTAAGAGGGTGGTGCGAATTTTTTTTAACCAATCACAAAGCGAAGGAAAGTAAAGCCAAAGTAAGTCCGTGATACTTTCGACACCCAATCAAAAGCCGCTATCAATAGTAATTCAAAGCATTTTCTATGTTTTGGTCACAGCTTACCAATTCACACAGACACTGCTGTGTAATAAAACGCAGTTACCTCAAACTCTTGAGAAAAACAACAGTCGGTCAAATTACAAGCTTTTCACCCTGTCTGCTTTGACTAACAAATTGTCTTTAAAAATGGATACCTTCAGCTCTAAATGTAGGGCACAATATGATGGAGGAAGTAAAGAAAATTAAATAACGATTTCTTAAAATTGACAAACTGTTAATAAATACTTTTTCGTTCATTATTTATGTATACAGAGTCTTCGACACATTATCTTAAGCGAATGAGGATTTCATATCAGAATGAAACAAATCCGTTTTGTAGCATACTTTAACACTCTTGCTTCGTGGCACTGTCACGCTGTCACACTGTCACACTGTCACACTGTCATGCTTTATAATCGAAAGAGGGTGGTTTCTTGCAAATAACATTTACACATCACTTTCGTCTTCTGTAAGTACAAAAGAAAATCACAATTAAATGTTGAAGTGTTGTTTTTACTTTCCTTTAATTAATTTATTTCTACCGGTAAATTTATGACAGCTGGAGGAGAGAATTTCTTTCATTCTTTATGTTTCTGAAGGATTCCTATACCATGTTAGGTACATGACAAATACGCTTTTCACGCTTTTCCCAACTCAATATCCTCTAACCAAAGATCAAACATGGTGGCTCAGTAAGTGACTGCAAGCTTGTAAACGCGATCTAACTCTACATTGCAAGCTCAGAAAGGTGGAAGGGATTTTCATTAGGGTATGCCCTCGATAGTGATGTAGAGTAGTCTAATTCTCAGCCGAACTAAAACCAGTTAAAAATCAGGGTTGGATGTGGAATGAGAGTGATGAGTCGTGTCCAATAGAGAACAACACAATGACATGGCCAGGTCTCGAACCCAGACCTCTGGACGCGGTTACCTCTTTCTCTGCGTTTAGAACATACCGCGTGTTTTATTCCCTTGAAGAATACTTGAGATCCACGCTAAGCGATACTCCTCAGCTTGTTTGAATCTATCTGCGTGCGATGAATGGAACTCTAATGAACCTTAGAAAGAATTATTCAAAATTAGTAACACGTTATTCACCATTCAGGTTATTTACCAGTCCGCTTTTAATATGTCAGGCCAGGCAACTCAATTTCAAAACGCATTAACCACCAGTAGAACGAGCACTTGTTGAGCTATTCAAAACTCAGTTGACGCTTCGAACAACAAACTGGAAATTTCATCACTGTTGTCTGTGAGTTAGTACTATTTTTTTTCAAACCATCTAGCAAGTCCTGCGTCGATTGTAGTGACGGACTGCCACAACTGATCAAGGTGGAGATGATACACCGTTCACGAAAAAATAAGGCGGAAGTGGCGCGCTGGGCGAGTGACGTGCGAGGGGTTGCGCGTGATTCCCGCGTTCGTCCCCTGAGTACGCACAAAAAGAGACGCTCGTCGTGGACTCTACAAAGTAAACGACTCCTCTCCGAAGAGAGGCTGATCTTACCACCCTCTGTAGATATCACTTTGTTGTGTTCAATTCGCGATCTCCTTCTTCGGGAAGCTAATTGTCGCGCCCTACTCCAAAAAGTCATTCCTTGAACAGAATCATTTAATTCTTCATTGCCTGTTGACGGTTGAGCATCTTGAGAAACACTTGCGCCTACTCTGGCTGTCAACATTTCACTCTCCAGAGCAAGCCCCATTTCTGGTAGCGCCATCGAGGCTAGAGAGTCATTATCAAACTCCTGACTTGAAGTCACCAAAAACTCATCTTCTGTTTGTTGTGGCGTTGAAACTTTTGTTGGGTCATCCTGTGTAGCATCGTCATTATCAAACTCCTGACTTGAAGTCACCAAAAACTGGTCTTCTGTTTGTTGTGGCGTTGAAACTTTAGTTGGGTCGCTCTGAGTAGCATCGTCAGGTTGGTCAGTCTGTTCAGGTTCTTCGGAATCCTTTGTTTCTGATTTCAATTCATTTTGAGATAGAAGTGCGTTGGACCCCACCACTTCCGTTGCAGCTGGTTTTGGCGGATCACGAGAGACGTTGCTACTGAGGGAAACCTTACTACCAAAAAAACCTTCATTTGAATGACCTTGATCTGTTGTGTCAGGTTTCTAAAGATAAAACAAAGATAAACACATAAACAGGAACGTTGTGTCAGATAATGTTTTAAATTTTTTTTTAGGATTCAGTTCGTGAAGTAATTTCGAATGCCTCATGTAAGGCAAACCTAATAATTAGGAGAAGAATTTAAGAATGATAATCCTTCCAGTTAGCAAAAGGATTGACACAAACTTCCAGTCCTGTTCCTACCTCTGAAGACTCGACTTCTGCCCAGGCTTTCACTGCTTGTAGCGTTGGTGGGCACCAATCCCTTGGACCTGCTGACTGTATCCTTACAGGCACGATTGGCTCCGGTTCGACCTTGGCAAGGCGAAATTTTGTGAGATCACTCGAGCGAGACAATAAAGATCTCTCTGTGCTTTGCTTACGAGGATGTTCATCTGGAAGCTGGTCACTGAAAATATTGTGAATTGTTAGTTGGCAAGGAAAATACGGTTTCACTATTTTTTTTTTACAGGGAAACTATAGCGGTAGTTTAATACCTTGTTGGCTGTCGCAAAGATGCAATTGAAAGAGCTCTAGGAGGTACTTCCACTGAGGACTCTGTTCTTGTCGTACTTCTTGCTCTTTCCGGTTCATAAGATGGGCCAGGCTCTTCCTCATTTCCCGCGTTTGCGGAGTATGGATTCTGGGATTTAGTGGATTAAAAAGAAAAAAGAGACCCATGAGGAACTCCAGTTTAATGTATTATTTACTCAGTGGACGAAAACAAACTCTCCTTCGTTCGATTTTTTCCGAAGGCTACGTTTTTTAAACTTTGGGTCATTTTGAAAGAAGTTGAGGTATTCCAAAAAACCCCAAAAGAAATTTCATATTTCCAGGCATGCTAAGACAGTTAACGTTATTGTTTCTCTCGTCCCCAGTCTATATGTTGGATCCAACAATATCGGTATCTGCCACTGAGCTCAGGTAGGCAGAGGGGGCCGGCCACTATTTATCGCCTGGTGGAGGGGAGGGGTGGGGAGGGGGAGCTAGAAGATTTGGTTATGTCGCGATAAAATTCACCTGATCCACGGCTCTCAGGCTCTTTAATATTTTCATAACCAGTCAATTTAGAAGTATCCCCTTTATGCTCTGTTGGCTATGACTGACTCCATTCCATTCCCGCCTGAAAACCATGTGATCCCTCAGAATCCTCCACCCCCTCCCCCCGCAGTCGGCAAATAAAGACTGGTCCCTAAGATAGGCTTAACCAAAATTTCTTAGGGAAATCATACGTCCGTAATGCGTATTAAAGGCGGGGTATTACAACCTACCGTTTCTATCAGTATTCCGTATCTCCATTTCATCCAGCGTCGTTTGAGCGCTTCACGAAACTCCGCGCTCAGAAAAACACAAAATATGCAAACCATGATTCCCTAAAAAGAGAAAAAACATCAAAATGAATTCATAAGTAATGAGCACTTATTCTCTGACGAACAGTTTAATTAATTACTCAGTGCAGAAGCCTTCTTTGTCTTGCATGAATATATGTGTGTTATTCACCAAGCGCGTGGTTAATATGGCTGGGTATTGGCAAAGTTTCATGGATCGAGAGGAAGAAAAGTCGGCATTGAATATTTGTCATTTGAGGGAAAAAACTGAATCTTACCTGATCCAAATATAAGTTCTGTTTGGTGCTAAATAGCAAAATAATATTTTTATTTAGCATTAAAGTTAAACGTACCTGGAAGGGATAAGCAACAGCCACGAAATAATCGTAAGAAGGATTGTTCCCTGGCTTATAGAAAACAAGAAGGTAGATTACTCCCAGGAGTGATACCAGAACCACCAGCGCCTTGGAACTTTTCCTATCGATGCAAGCGGAAGATTAAAGGAACATCAATCGGGAAAACACATGTTTTTAACAAGTCTCCTTCACAGCCATTCTTTGGTATGTCACGCAGCGGTTTTATGACATTAAAAAAAAATAAATAAAAAAAAAAGGAGCGAAGGAGACTAGTTTCGGATGTGAATAAACTAAATTTTTTAAAATTTGAATCTATGCAGCCACATGTCACATTTTTTCCTATGATACTCACTTGATAGCATTCATTTGTGATGAATGAGAGTTCTTGAGTTTTTTGGTGAGCATTCGAATTACGTAGACTGCAACTCCACAGTTGATCTGTGATAAAGAGAACAAAGCCGCAGAAATTCAAAGCATCAACTGATTTTCTGATTAGGATTAAGGAGGGATTACGACGGCCTGTAAGTTTTCAAGTATTCGTTTCCTAAAGAAGGAGGATAGCCACAGTTCTGATTTGGGATCTCAGGGACTGAGCCGAGGATCCACCCCTCCCTAGTGGGAAATGGCATATATTTGACAGTTTTTTCTTCTTACCAGCAGCATGATGGATAATGGAACATACAACACCAGCATGTGCTCTGACTGACTGTGTCTCACCCAACAACTGAAACAAAATCAGTAGAGTAGATGGGTCAGATGATTTACGAGAAAGTTGAAACATACACACCCGATCTAAGTGAAGAAAATGAAAAAATTTACGATGAATTTTCAATGAAAAAAAAATACAAGGCTACGAATAAGAAAAAAAACAACAACAACAACAAAATAAACAAACAAGCGCAGAAATGTAGCTGACCTTGAAAAAACTCTTGAAATCTTAAACTGCATGTATGGAAGGTACACACAGAACGTCAGAAAACCGGAAAAACCTGTTATATGGGATAGACGAAACGAATTAAAACAGTGTTGTTCTAAAAACTTGCAAAATGGTAAGAACATAGCATTTGTTATGCTATTCTGTAAAATTTTTCAGCCGCGCGAAACAAAAAGTGAATTGCGTTGAATTGATGAAGAGATGAAAAAAGTGTGCGAAAAGTAGAAAATGAACAATTAATAATTAAAAATTAATAATTCTGCGAGTGAGTAGGTTAACAATTCGATTTACCATGTATATATCACACGGGTTTATACCCATTTGAATCATCATTGTAATCTTTTCCGGGCATTACTTTTGGAAGGTTTCCCTATTTCTAAACTGGAAATGGATGAAAATTTCGAACTGTTACTTAGAAAAAGTTTAGTTTATGCCTTGATTTGACCAAACTTACCCCAACCGAAGACATAATAGTACCATAGATATGACTCGCTGTCAAAGGGATACGCGAGCATGCGCAATAGAAAAACCCCTTCATTGAGCATCCACGTTATCTCCGAAGCCGCAAAGTAGCGGTTCAATAACCAGAATGCATTGCAAACGGCCTGTATGAAGGAAGGCATAAAGATCACTCTTAAAAGATTAAAAGTATAATCTGCATATCAGACTTACTCGCACTGGGAAACTTGTCTCGGGTGTTGTGTAGCATGTTAAACAACTTAGGAAACCCGTCCTTCCTCCTAGATGGAAGACTGGCATATCAAGATCACAGATAATTGCCCCCCCCCCTCCTTCCCCTCAATAAATTTTGCCAGATTTCCCTGGTTAAAAATTCATATCCCTGGGGGTGTGGGGAATGAGGAGAAGCGTTGCAAGATTTGAAAGTTGATTTTAAAAATGATCAAAAGTAGGAGAAAATGAAGGAGTCTTACCATGTTCGAATCTGTCTCTCCCATTTTCCCATAGTGATAAATGAATAGAGTGATGATGCGAAGAATAAACGCCAAGATAAGATGATTATGCAAAATAAATCGATCATTTTCACGGCCCCTGTTGATGTAAAATTAGACATCGATGTCTAAGACAAGTAGATTATTTTTTTCAAGTAAGGGGTGACTGTCAGTGAAGGAAAAACCTAAAAGTGGGTGCACAAAACACCTCCTTTTCATATTTCTTTCTTCGTGTAAACTGTTTCATAAATTAGATGTTTAGGACCTACTTTCGAAGACAAGAAAACCATTTTGACGATTAGTAAGGTTTTCTTGCGACCATCACCTTACACGTCGACTCGATGGAATTAAAGGACATTAAAGATCCACTTACATGACGATGCAGATCAGTATGAATACTGGCAGCAGGACAAAAAATTCGATCCAAGAGAGAGCGATATACAACCGCTGCACACGCTGAGCATGAGTAAGAGAGTCATCCTATGAAAGAAACAAAAGAAGCAAAATAAATAAATCAACAAATCGAGCCATTAATTTCAAGTTCGTATGGATAGTTAAGTCAGGGTTGCACTCAATATTCGTGTGAAGTGAGAGAGGGCAACATTTTGAAGAGTTTTTTTTTTTCTTCGAGACAAATATTTTCTCTCGAAATGACGATAATATGTGACTGAAGTTCGAAAGTTCAAATGAACCATTCAAAGATTGCTTGTTCCATTGATTATTTCTTGATATGTGCGTTATATGTAAAAAGATTTTTCTTTTTTCGTTTACCTGTTTCTTCGTTGGTGTGTTAGATGCCTGCCTTCCTTTATCAGCTGCTTCCTTTGGTGTAAGTCTGTGACATTTTGTTATGTTCATCTCTTGCCAGTTACCCTCCTTATCACAACGGCGAGAAATATTATCTGAAAGAGTTAACCAACATTTTCAGATTTTTAGGATGTACTGTATCGTCCGTACGGAAGCATATCGGTTTGATGACTGAGTTGAGAAGCATCTTTTGGGGGAGTTAAAGAAACAACGCTAAAGGATGCCATATATTTCAAGTTTTAAAACGTAAGTGAATGGGGAAACGGTATATCACTTTCAAAAGCCGCTAATCAACAAGAATCAGGGTATTCGAGTGAAGGAATCGAATTCAAATAGTAATTTTTGCGTTTACCTTTTGTCGAAAACAGTAGGAAAGGACAGGGTTGTACGGCTGTTTGGCCTGCAAGAGTCTCCTTCCAGCAAGCAACATCATAAAGTAATTTGCACTTCACAACACCTTTAAAAAAAATCGAAAGTGTCAGTTAATGGGAGCTATGGTTATTTGTTGAATAGTCCGCAGGATTTCCAAATAAAAAGATTAAGTTAAGGCCGTGGGTCATGATGCTGCGTTTTTAGGGAGGATAGTGGTATTCTCAATGTGCCTCTTCCTCTCAGAAGTATCAAAGGGGCCCAAAAAGTTGCAGGGGAACGTGAACGATTAGTTTCGGAGATGACTACAATGGCGTAGCGTCGCGTTCAGGTGAGCACAAATCGTGAATGTCTGTTTACTTCCGGTTTGGCGGGAAAGATCAATGCATCGCGCGCACAAGCCTAGCAACGAACACTAGCTCCTCTTAGCAACCGGTGTGACTAGAGCGAAGTGCGTGATACAATGGAAAGGAACAAGAACCGCATTCGCTTCCTCTCTTGTGCGCCTATTCTTAGTTTTTTTTTCTCTCAAAGATAGACATCTGGGTTCGAGGCTACGCAGGAAACACTTTTTATCCTCTGAAAACTATTGAAGAGGTGGTAAGATAAAAGAAGAATTAGCATGTTACAAGCTAACCCGATGAAGACCCTAAATTCGCATTGCTGTCGCAATTTGTAAATTATGACAAGTTGCACTTTCCGCCGCAAGCTTACCTGGATCTTTAATGTAGTTTTGTGGGTTCTTTTCACAGAACTGTTTTAATTTGTCATTAATGGTCTTAAGATCCTGTTGCACGGTTGATGAAATAAAAACCAACTAGAAAAACAATAAAAACACTCAAAATGACGCGAACTCAAAAAGTGAGCTAAATAATTTAACGTTGGTTCCTCATTTCTCTACTTGTGTTTCATCTCCTTTCCTTGCCTCTCATCACACAAGCGTAGACAAACTTCCGCAAAATTTGACAGATTTTACGGTGCCCCTCCCAACAAGGTCGATAACTTTGATTTTACCATCCAAAACCGAAGTTTGGTCCATTTCAACTCAGTATTAACTAACTACTTACACAAAGAAGCAAAACAGTCACTCCGGTTTTGATAGACAAAGTCATGTTATCAACAACCAATTAACACGTCTCAGCTGTGCGTCGATACGGCTGCTTTGATTCCTCTTAGTTTTCTGTAATACAAAAATGAAAACGTATCAGTGAATTGAAAATGATTGGGGCTTCAGTGATTTGTATTTCAAGGAAAATGACGTGAATTCTAACAACAATAACAACAACACTGTACAACGAAAGTATTTTTATTTCAAACGAACATGACACGAGACAGGATTGCGTGTGTTAAATGAAAAAAAAAAATTCCTCTAAATAACTGAACGATGAAATGCCACTGTTTCCTAAATTTACAAGGTATTCTCTATACGGTGGTGAATTTTCTGGGCTCACGGCGTGAAGTAGAGATGCTGACTCTAGACGACAATTTCTTGAATGATTGCTTCTGGAGGAAGTTCAAATGCAGTGTGACTCAATTGTCCGGTTCAACTTTTTCCTAAGACGCAAAGTTTTCCCGCAGACAAAAAAAAAATGACCTGTATTTCATTTAACGCAAGATATTTTGACGAACCGTTCGTCCGTCACAATATTTGACTATCCGGTGATAGTCAAAAACCAGCTAAAAGAACGAAATACTGAAGCCACAAGATAGTTAACGAAGTAATCACATGAAGATCCAACGTCTGCTATTTTACTTTGTCAACATGAAATTAAAATTACTTTGCTGATACAAATTTTTCTTTTATAAAGCTTAGTCTTCCGCTTTTATGGTGGATGACTCGGAACAATTGCGGAATGAAAAACAAGAAGGCTTAACATCTCAGTTATGCTTTCGATTTCCGGCTTTTTAATTAAAGCAACAGATCAACAGGAGCGTAAAATCAAATTATGACATGATCAGGCAAAACTTTAGAAAGAAAGTCGCTTGACTGTGGTAAAGAGAAAGAGGGTGTTTCCTGAAACATATTTGGTAGTCAGTGGGTAATGTATTAGCACAGTAGCAGTTTGTAATTTATTTTTGGTCGCTATCGTGTAATGGTCTCAACTTACAGCAGGCAATGAAATAAGAACGACATGCATGATTAGCACGTTGATTTGAAATCGCTGCAATTACACCAATGCTACCAAACTGTTCCGACGATTTAACTCAAACAAATATTGTAAAACTGTGGCAGTCAGTATTCACGGTTAAAACAGTAACAATAAAGCTTTGTCTTTTGTTCTTTGAATCGCGAGATAATAATGATATCTTCTAGATCTCAATATTACGACCTGATGCTGCTGCACCTTTGTTGGGCGATAAGGTTGAGTGATAACGCGTCAGTTCGTGAGTACGCGTCGGACTTGTGCAAGCTACTTTGATGTAGAAAGTCGCTGTCTTAAAGCCAGCATTTAAAAATCCAAAATCCCAGTAATGTTGCTCACGGATAGAGAGATTCTGCAACGTCTACATACACAATACCGCAGCTTTTTATAGCTAAAACCACCGAAAAAAAAATTTACATGACAAGAATAAATTAATCAACGTAAAACAAATTGCGGAAAATTTGACATCACTGTTTAAGTCAAGTCAGTCATAAAATAGTTTCGCGGAGAATATTTATGACATGTTAGCAACGCAAAAGTGTCTAACTGTGTAACCTGCCTGCTTATTTCATAACGAGCGATGCTTTCTCCCTTCTCATCGATCAGTTCCTGTAGCTATATTAGCATATGTCATCCAATCTTGATTGAACGTGGTCATCGATTTCTACATTGCGCGTTTAGCGTTTAAGAGAAATAGTGCGTTGTTTGCCAAGGTGAAAACAGACAACAGACACTGTTTGATCTAAAAAAAACAAGTAGTTTTGAATTACCTCAATTACTTCACGCCGTCAAAACAGTTCACCCCTCAAAACCCATTGGCTTTCGTTACCAAAACGCCCTTGGAACTCCATACCTTTCGCTCTGCATAATTCTACCAAATCGTGTCATCAGAGTTTACTGTGTACACAATTTTCGATGCCAAATTGACTCAGTGTTCGATTGGATTCACTGACTAGAACGTGTTTACCGCATAGTCTGGAACGATTAACAAACAACATGAAGCGTAATGAACAGTGTTCTCTAAAACTTCCGGTGAACGAGCGATGTTGCATGACTTCCGCTTTTGTAGACTCCCACGCCACTGTTTTGCATCACATTACCTGAACCGTACACATTGTTATTTCACCTATACTAGAAAAAGCAAACATGCCGACGTGCATAGCCACAGACATACTCAGAAAACCTTAAACTAGTTGAATCTATCATTTTTTTGGCTGCTATGACCCTGAGCGCAAGCTTTGTACTCTTTTTCTGGAGCTTTGTATGTGCTGTACTTAAATTTTCTCGGAGTCGACTGTTTGTTGGAACTAACAAGCGGTGGGAAAAAGTGTTTTTTAAGATAACTTAAAAAATCAAAACGAAGCGCGCCTAAGAGCATTTAATTCTAGTTACGCTCTTTTATATATTTTGAATCGAAAGACAGCGCTGGTTCTAATTGAATTTTTATTGAATAGAAATTGCCTTCTAGAGTTTTCAATTTAATGAAATACATAACAGATTTAAATATTGTTTTAGTCATTTCACCTTCCGAAAAATCTTTCCAATGACTCCTCTGAAGCAGCGCACAGAAGGAGAAGGAAAAACAAAACAGACTTAAACAATAATAAAAAAAAAGAAAAGAAAAAAAAAGCAACGTCAATAACTTTCTCGGACAATTTTCCTTCTCAACACATTTGCATCCTAACTTATCGATGTGCATCTGTATTGTTTTCAAGATGTTCTTTTGTTTTATCTAATTTTAATATTTTTCTCACCGTTACTCCAGTTAGCTTTATCATTTTCGATACTATTAAAAAAAACCTATTAAAACAAGCGGGGTGTCCGAGTAGCTTGATTCAAAATTAGATGGAAAATGTTGCCAGAAAAAGAAAAAAGCACGCAACCGACTTATTAACTTTAGACATGGTGAAATGAAAAATAGGAATAGTAATAAATAAAAATATCTAAAAAGGGAATCGAGTCACTTTTCCCAAAGATTTGCGACACTGTCAGTAATTTGCACCGGCAAACCTTTCACGGAATTGCGATGATAAGCAAAATACGAAATATATTCATTCGTTGCATATCGTGTCTAAAATACGCACAACCTACTTCAGCGAAATAAGAAGAGAGAAATGAGAATAAAAAAAAGGATGAAGTTTCACGCTCGTAGAAGAAATTGCTATTTTCTCTCAATCGCAAGCAGAAATATACCGGTATTCTACACAGCTTATTTCAGTTGATAGCGACTCTTACCTGGTGTTTTTTTTCACTGTCAAGTCTCTTCGGACACTTCGATTGAACTCAAACTTGTCATCAACGAAAAGCTATTTGCAAGGCTTTAAAAGACAATTAAATCAATTGTACTCAAATGAATGCAAACCCACCGAGGCTTGGCTGTGGGGGTTTTTATCGACTTCAAATAAACCACATTCTGAATGGATCAAGAAAACTATCAGCTGATTGCATGCCAGTTTCCCAAATTAAATAGCGCATGTTTTATTGGCTTACGACACCTCCAAGGTATAGGGTAGACGATTTCACTTGATTAATTGTCAACCTGCGTAATATTTAAAGTTTTTGTTTTAAATAAATTTTGATTTTTCTTGGTCTAAAACTTTCAAGGACGAACAAGGAATATGAGTAAGTGTCTCTGAAAAGTTTATTGTTCAATATAAAAATACTTTAAAAAGCACCCATATGCAATATTAACCAACTCGGCTAAAATCTGACATTGTGATTGCCATGACAAACAGTTTGTGATAAAATTCAATAAACAGACAAGAAATCTCAAACTCGATGTAATATACGAGATGTCAACAATACGAATGAAATACATACAAAGCTAAACTGCGAGATTGAAAAACTCCACAAATCGAAAACGGGCAATGGGTTTCTGTAAATTCAAATATACTTTAGTTCGATATGGACCTGACATACAGTTCTAGTAGAAAAAATTGCGTTCCGTAAAGGTATCTTAAGGCGAATTTTTTAAACTAGCGATTTAGTGTTCCTTCAATCTGTAGCTGAAGACACTAATCTGACGCTGTGTTAATTAAAATTAGACACTGGCTCATATTTACGACTTTTTATCATTCGACTTAACAATAGAACGCTATTTTTTCCACTATACTGAATACACTCGTCCTTGAACTAGTAAAATTTCCCCATGAGAACGACTTTACACCACAATGTTCTTTAAAATGTCTCTCTGTACAATATACTTTTTTAAAAACATACTCTATACCCTACTTCTGTGCAAATTCGTAAATTACAAATTTCTCTTTTTCGCACAATCTGAATTCTCTGGTTATTCATCAAAAGCAAAAACGTCCCTTTTTTGTCTTGATTTCTGTGGTAAGGAATCTTCGGGGTCTTGGTAGTATCTGCGTGACCTCAAAGTATGTCTGGAAGGTGTTACGGCTGACACAGGAGTCGAACACTTAACTTGTCGACCTTTGAAGTGTGATTTTTCAAGGGGTGGTGACGCAAACGCATTGACGTCATAAATCCACGTGGCTCTCCGACTCTTTCGAGAAGAGCCCGCGAGTGGTGACGGGCTGGAACTTGACGAGCTGTTGATTGGACGAGATCTCGGCGAAGTTCGAATACTGGAAACGCTCTTCAACGGCTTTAAGGGTGGAAATTTCTCTCTGCGTTTTTCTTTCAAAGTATGTTGGGAAGGTGTTCTCGCTGACACAGGAGTCAAACACCGAACTTGTCGACCTTTGGAGCTTGAAGTTGCAGGAGGTGGTGACGCAAACGCATTGACGTCAGAAGTCCACGTGGCTCTCCGACTTTTTCGAAAAGGACCGGCGAGTGGTGACGGGAAGGAACTTGGTGAGCTGTTGATTGGACGAGCTCTCGGAGAAGTTCGAATTGTGGAATGGCCCTTCAATGGCTTTAAGGATGGAAATTTCTGTCTGTCCTTTTCTTTCGCTGATGATTGCATATTGCGGTCTTTCTGCTGCCTTACAATTTGAGTATTCTTGTATTCCTTAAGTGAAAGTTCCATGATCCGACGTATCTTAACCCGTTCTTCAATAGTTTCGTACATAGCGCTGTCCTGGAATCCACTTGGAACTGGTTCGGATAAAAAAAATGGCCCTTCCTGTTTGCTCAGGAACAAACCATCAACTTCTGTCATAAATGAAGTTCCTTTTTCGCTATTACTTTCTCTCACTGATCGAAGTCTCTTAGGAGCTCCAGTTTTAACAGGGGTAACTTTTTGGGAACACTGGAAAGAGCAATCTACCTCCGTCGCTACATCTGATTTCCTTCGCTTCGTTGGCCTCCCCACTTCTGGCTGAAGGTCGTCAGATTTACGCTTTCGTCTCCAGTTAATGTTAGTGGACGACGTCACGGAGTCCTCTTCTTGCTCGGAGACTTCTGCCTGAAAATTATCTGAATTTAGCCTCCGCGTCCAGCTGGAGATGTTGAACGGCGACGTTATTGCAAAGTCATCTTCGTCGTCTTCTCCGTCAGTGCTGCCAGCCACTGTACTGAAAACATCGTCATCCTGATCAAAATCGTCAGTATCTACTTCGGGTATGCTGTCCACTATGGACGTTTTTGCTGTACTTGGCCGAGAGTCTAGTAAGTTGCTATTGTGAATCTCGACTGAAGTTGTAGGCCTTATCTTTCTTAACACTCTGGCGGCTTTATTTTGTTCAATCTCCACATCTCCGTCAAAATGTCCCTTCCCGACATCCTCTTTTCTGCCTATCTCTATCTTTTCGACCATCGATTCTTCTTCCCTTCCAATATTTTTCTCAACTACCGTGTCCTCGTCACTAGTTTTAACCTCCTCGATAGTGTCATTATCCTGAGTATCTCCCAGAGTGGCCTCATCAGAACCATCATTCATACTCTCCACAATAGAGTTGATCCTATAACTCAAATCTTCTCCTTCAGATGAAAACGACCCAAGGAACTGCGGCACATCAAAGCCATAGAAGTCCTCCTCCTCGTCATCTGACTCAAACAACCGAGTAACACCAGATCGTTTCTTACCATGTTTGGCAAGAAAAGCTGCAGAATGGTAATCCTTTTTGATGCGTGGGCTGCCTTCCAAGAGTTGAATTCCTGAATATTTACTCGTCGCGCAGTAGTCAGCGCTTTTCATGCGTGGGGGTGACCCACGAACGGTAGTTACGGAAACATCTCCCAAAGATGCAATTGTATCTGATGAAAAGGAAGGATCCGTTATTTTGTCGACGTCGTCAACAGCAAGCTCTTGCAAGTTTCTCCCAGCTGAAAGCATACCAGACACACCCATGCTGTACTTGTCATGAGTGGGACCACTTCGAGGGCTACCAGAGGTGGACCTTAAATCGGCCTCAGATGAGAATTCTTTCACGTGAAAGGCCTCTCCACAACAAGGCGTGTTCTCTTGGATTTTTATCTGTCCCTTATTCCCTCCTTTCACCTTTTTCTTTGATGTCCTGGTTTGGAAACTTTGTACTGACTGAGATCTTTGTTTTGGACTTCTGGATTTTGATTTAACACTGGTAAAGTCCGTGGAAACAGTTCTCTCCCTCCGCTCACGATAACTCTCAGGGCTGTCGGGGATTTTGTGTTCTAACTTGGTCTTGTTACAAAGCTTAGAGTCACACTTATCTTGTTCTACGTGTTTTCTCAAGCTATACCTTCCACTTCCCGCTGAAGTTTCATTTGAAAAGCCTGATTTCTCAGAGCTTGCAGGAGAGGGACAGTGATCCAGTGTTGGCGTACTGGAGAGATCATTTTCGTCGTCATCCGAGAGAGCGTCCTCGGCAGGAGGTCCTTTCGATGACGTTTCTCCACTTGAACTCTGAATACTCTCGGTGTCAGAAGAATTTGAGTGTACATCTCGCAAAGGCCTTTTCCTGTTAACACACAACTTTCTACAATCAGACAACTTCACCTCTACTTGTGAGGAATCTTTCGAGTCATGAAAACAGCTCTTTGTGCTTTGGCTTACTTCGATATCTTCTGTAGTTTCGCTAACTTCATTTTTCGACGTGAGAAGTTTTCTTTGTGGCTTAG